ATATCAGGGGACTTCACTCTAACCTAAACGCCGTCCACTACCATCTCGAGACGGCGAGGCCGGCTCTGCTCTTTCTGACCGAGACGCAGGTGTCCTCTCCGGCTGATGTCTCGTATCTCTCCTACCCGGGGTACAAACTGGAACACTCCTTTGTGCCTCGGGCTGGAGTTTGCGTTTAAATCAGAGAGGACATCTGCTCTCGACGCCTCGGCAGACTTGAAGGTTCGGACCTGTCCATCCTTTGGCTACGCGTAGACAGCGACGACCATCCGCGCGTCTACGGGTGCCTCTATAGGTCCCATAGCGGTAATGCCGAAACAGACCGACTATTCGACTACGTCCAAATGGCTGCAGATTCGTTGCTACAGCAGATCCCCTCCGCAGAGATCGTGATCCTCGGCGACTTTAACGCCCATCACGCCGAATGGCTTGGTTCACGTTTAACCGATCATGCGGGGAGATCTGTTCATGATTTTGCCTTGGCATATGGTCTGACACAACTGGTTACTTCGCCTACGCAGATTCCAGATGTGGAGGATCATGCACCTTCCCTGTTGGACCTTCTGCTGACCTCTCACCCGGACGGATATCAGATTTCCGTCGACGCCCCTTTAGGCTCCTCGGACCATTATCTGGTCCGGAGTGTGGTGCCACTCACGCTGAAATCGCGGTTGCATTCTGCAGGCTGCCGCCGTGTTTGGCACTATAGGTCAGCCGATTGGGATGGTATGCGGTCTTTCTTTGCATCCTACCATTGGGGGCGGGTTTGCTTCTCGCCGCTCGCTCTAATTCAGGGTATAGAACTTTTTATTCCTTCCTCTGTGGTGCCCATTGGAGGCAAGTCTCAGCCATGGTTTTGGTCGCACCTGTAAAATAGCATCATGCTATAAGCAGGGGTGCTACCAAGCCTGGGCTGATGCATCTGCGTCCCGGGATGTAAACACCAGCGCTCTAAAAAAAGAAGTATAATTCCGCCTCTAGATCCTTCAAAAGAGTCATTGCCAAGGCAAAGTCAGAGCACATAAGCAGAATTGGCGAGAAACTAGTTCGCCTTCCTTCTGGAACCCGTGCATTCTGGTCTCTCGCCAAGGCTGTCCAGGGGAATTTCTGTCAGCCATCTCTTCCATCTCTGCACAGGGAGGACGACTCACTGGCCCATACCGCAAAGGAGAAAGCCGATCTTCTAGGCTCTTTCTTTGCATCTAACTCGACTCTCGATGACGGGGGGGAGTATTTCGCTGATCATCCCGCGGTGTGAGTGCTCCATGCTGGAAGTGCACTTCACACAGCGCTCGGTTCGCAAAGCACTCCTCTCCCTGGACATCCACAAGTCGAGTGGGCCTGACGGAATCCCCCCAATTGTGCTGAGGACGTGTGCTCCAGAGTTGGCACCGGTTTTAACGAGTCTTTTCTGGTACTCCTACTCCCTAGGCGTAGTCTCAAAATCATGGAAGACGGCTTACGTCCACCCGATCCCTAAAAAAGGCGACCGCTCTGACCCGTCCAACTACCGGCCAATCGCCATCACCTCCTTGTTCTCCAAAACAATGGAGTCCATTGTAAACTGCCAGTTCATGAGGTACCTTGAAGATCACCAGCTGATTAGTGACCGCCAATACGGTTGCCGGTCTATAGCCTTGATTGGCAGCAAACCTACATGGATCACCAGCTTTCTTGCAGATCGGAGCATCAAGGTCGTTGTAGACGGTGCAAGCTCCGATTGCAAGCCTATTAACGCTGGTGTTCCAAAGGGCTGTGTGCTATCGCCAACGCTGTTTCTTCTGCATATCAATGACATGTTGCGTACCCGTAACATTCATTGCTATGCAGATGACAGCACTGGTGATGCTCTTTACACCGGCCGAGCCAATATTTCTCGGGAAAACGTCTCCGAGTGCCGGGACAAACTTGTGTCTGAAGTCGAGTCTCTGCTGGACAGAGTCTCGGATTGGGGGCGACTAAATCTAGTCCAGTTTAACCCCCAGAAGACACAAGTTTGCGCGTTAACCGCTAAAAAGAACCCCTTTGTCGTATCCCCTCAGTTTCAAGGCACTCCCCTTGTTGCCTCAGCCAGTATCGGAATCCTCGGCGTCGACATATCGAGTGACGTGCAGTTTCGTGGTCACTTGGAAGGGATATCCATCATAAACCTTAAAATATTTGCTATATTCGCCAGCTCATTTACACCCCCAACGCTCACTAGGGTATCTGCTCTAGGATTAAACTACTTAACATACTTCCAGAACCAACAAAAATCTTTACGCCTATGTTTGTACGCTAGTACGTTCCCCTTGATTTGGTCTTTATTATTTTGACCACAGCTTTTTTCTTTTCAACTGTTGTTAGAAAGAGGCTGTTGCCAACCTGTTCGTTTGCTTCCCTCTGTCACCTCTTACAACACTTACAGGACATAAGGCATAGTGGATATTCTTTCCCTGCCAATTTAAAGTATATCCATGTAACATAATATGTAGGTGTATTGTCTTTTCAAATTCGTATAATACATATATGCTAGTAAGCTGAATTCTTATGTTTATTTAAATACGTTGAGAAAACGTATCGAAAAATAAAATTCAATTTTTTTGTTTATTTATTGACAAGATGTGCATGAAATTATTTTACAAAAATATTTCAAAGCTATTATATAGCTTTTGTATCACGAAAGATTTATTTTCATTTAAAATGAAGCAATACTAGTAAATATTAGAAAAATTAGAAAAAATCAACGTCTAGTCTGGCGCGTCTCTAGTCTAGCGAAGCAATGCATGCGCAAAGAATTTTCTAATTTTATTACGAAGTAAGAAGTATTGTGAAGGCACTAATTTTTTTTAAGTTACTTTAGTTTAACACCTTTATCATTAAAATTTGAAATCTCCTCGAATTTTAAGAGAAAGTGTTAAGAATTTAAAAGAAAATACATTTCATCAACGTGCATGTTATGAGCGTTGGTCAATGTTGAGTGGGCTATATTGTAGGTTATTGTTATGCATACACAATAATCGTAGTCTACGAACTTGCTTTATGCCTCTACCAATTATTGACTACTGAATTTGCAATGTACCGATAGGGCAGAATTAATGTCGTCAAATATAGAAAGTGGGATCTAAACCTCGCCGCTTCCTATATACCTTTCTATCTACGGGCAATATGAGCTAGATTCCAACGGCATCACTAAAATTGTTAAATGCGATGTTAAATGCTAAGTTAAAGTACTTGCTCGGCGATGCAGGATAAGATCGTGACAAAATCGGCTTGTCGAAAATTAAAAATATTTTATCTGAAATTACTAATTACAGGATTTTAGTAACTGACACCAACTATATTGCGATCTCAAACAATAAAGAAAGCATTTTTATAACTTTAATCAGATATAATATGTTTATTTGCGTATATTTGGATCCGCAAAAATCATAATACATTTCATAAGCAATATGACGTTATAACAACAGGACATTAAAAAAAACTGAAATACTCGCTGAACAGACTGTTAATAAATAAAACATTATGCGAATGGTAAAAAATTTATTTTAAACAAAAATATATTGTATTCCATTAACTTAAATTTTAATTCGTACATAATAATCTTAACAATATTTACAATTAATATAATATGTACAGCTTACATAGTTAAATTTTTGGCCCAAAATATTAAATAATTTCATCAAATTTTACTTATTTTATGAATAAAATAAACTGATACTAATAAATGGATATATTTTTTCTAAATATAATTTAATGATTTAATTTAAATACTGTTCTAAATATGAAATCGTTACTTCAAGTGTGTATAATAGAGTGAACTTGATTTGTATTTTAAAATATCTGCTCCTCCTCACTATCTTTCTACTCTTTATCTCACTTTTTATCGTTTATATAGAGATTCCATTATGACTGTTGCAAATTATAATATCGTCTAAACGCTACATTATAGCGGCGGTAGGCTTGGCGGCAACTAGCCGGCAAAGTTTCACGCATCTTCATTATTTAAAAATATTATTCAGTTGTAATAAGAACTTGTAAGTTTGCTGACGCTTTAATATATTTCAAGTACAAGCACCTACATGTGTTATCCATAGTCTCCCAATATAATAACTCCCAGAGTTAATAACATATTATTTTGAAGTACACGTTCATTTCATATACTTTCAATACATAATGAAGTTAGATGTATGAAATATTATCCATAAAAGTAAATTATTATAATATACTTCAGTGTGATTTTTAAAAGTAAGGAGTTTATAAATTTGACTAGATATTATGTAATAAGTAATGTGTTAGTTTTTTCTTAAAATATTTTTTTTTACAAATATAACCAAAAATGACTTCATGAATGAGAACCTAAAATATGCTTAAACATATTTTATACTCTAATTATTTCATATTAGCTACTGATATAATGAAAGTTAATAAAATACTTTTTTATTAAGTAATTATTAATTAAATAATTACCACGTAGCACACAGTCTAATGAAATATACTATAACCGTAAGTAATAAAAGTTCTTTTTTGTGTATTTATTTGTTTAAGTAAGTACCCATTTATAAAAAATTCAGTCTTTTAAAAATAATTAAGAACTCACACAGCTCCACAGATTAAATAAATTAAAACTGGCGTACGTCCATGAAAATGCTCTGCACGATTTTTTAGCTAGTAGTTAATGGGTGCAGATATCGTTGCTTAACAAAAAAATAGGATAAAAGACGTTGATCACAATTGTTACATTATTATTTTGTAACTAATAAATATATTAAAATAATTCATCATTAACAAGATTCTCTTAACAGTTTTTGTTATTAACTTAAATATTTAAAGCGAACACTTCCACAATATTTACACCAATTCTTACTGTCAAAATTTTTGAAATAGATTAATAGGTAGTATATTTTAAACATTTACAAATGATATACACAAAATATTTCATCTAATGTTTGGCCTACTGCACCCCTGTTTCCATTTTTTCTTAATGTTATTTCTTAAAATACAATTTCTCTCGTGAAGTTTTAAGTTGAGACTTTTTCCATGTAATTATGTATACTGTTTTTGCTAAATACCTGGGTCCTATTTAATAAAAAATCTAAATCGTTTGATATTTTACTTAACATTTTATTTGTTTCAGGAGAATCATATGCTTTTTTCCACTCTCTATTGACTTGATCAATATCCGATTTCATTTTCGGTTCCTCACACGTCACGTCCATGGACGGCAGTGAAATGCTAGAAGTAAATTTCTGATTTTTGTCCTTCTTTTTTAAGCAGCTTTTAATAGGTGGTGATGGTATTCTAGACATATTAGGATTGGACTGAATGCATATTGAACAAGACTCTTTGGACGTATCGAATCGTTTTTCCGAGTACGGTTCAAAATCCACAGAACACGTCAGGACAGACACTGGAGATTCTCTAGGAGGCGGAGTGTTGACGACTCCCAGTTCCAAGCAAACCCTTGCTATGTATTCTGTCTGGATTGATGAGTGTGGAATCAGATCGCAAGCTGCATGGGTTTTGGTGATATGTCGAGTTTCAAATCGATGCGGGGTTGCTATAGAATCTTTGAATTCTACACAACGTACTATATCAGCTCGGCTATCGGGCATTGATTGCCTCCTGCAATTAAATGAAGCAAGTGCTATTTACGTATTTTAATCTTGTTATTTTTACAGTCTCTTAGAATCCACTGCTGTACATGGAACTCTGCCATTATAGGAAGGATTTAATAATTAATCATACATAGTAAACCTTTATCATTACGGCAATATTATAACGACTATAATATGATTTTTATGATATTTCCTGTAGTTGCCTCTTACGATACGACACGTAATATAAAATGTCATTTAATACGTAATATTTTAATACATACGTATTATATGATGTAACTTCACGGCACTGTTATTTCGTATTATATTGTTATTTTAAAATATTATAGTGACAAAAGTGTAACTTCTGTAGCACCCGGCCACCTGAAATTAACTCTTTAACAGGCCTTAAACTGTTTAAACTGTTGCAACTAAGATGAAATGCCCAACAACCTATTATATTATACAGGTTCTTTAAGTCTTCAAACCGAAACATAGCTGATTGACGGTAGAAATATTCTATATTATGTGTTGGTACCAACCTACACGGACGTCTAGGTAGAAGACGGAAACAAGAAGCTTGTATAAAATATGTATGTGAAAAATACCCCGTTCGATCCAAAATCTCATAAGTATGATAATGAAATTACCAAAAAAATCATCATATTTAATATATTTTATATCATACAACTTATTAAATGACAAGTTTTTACTACAGCTGACAACACCGGCGTTTACATTAAACAATGTTAATTACAATTATTTACATGACGTCGAAATAATTAAAATTAATATTAAGAACTATCGAATAAACAATAATTGAAACTTGAAGTCAACAGAGGTCAAAGTTTTGACCCACATATTTTTCACCACATGTATTGCAGTGTAATTTTCACTAAATCATTAAAATTTTACTTATTTAGGGTATTATTAATAAAGATTAGATTAGATTTAAGAATAGTCATAGAAAAAGTTACATGAACAAAATCATATCACGATAGGTGAACTCACGGATCGAAAAGTGTTTTCCTAAACATGTTAATCGATCCGTTTAGAATTCAAATATCAAGAAAAGTAAATTCTACCCCAAATTCAACAAATTTAAGAACATAATGGTGAAGCATTCATATTACAGAGCCTGGCAGTAAATATTGCACATCAAGCTTTAGAAAAAGAAAACCTGCCGGATTAGGTTTCATAGACTATTAACTTATAAGATGTTTAAACAACTACGTTTTTTTTGTAATTAAATGGAAACACTTAAATATGAAAACGAAATCCTTTTTTTATAAAATGTGCATATTATTTCAAACAACTGTAAACAAATTCGTATAATTGACCGTTTACAGGTTACTTCATTGTTAAGATACCATATTACCGTTTCAAAATTGGGATCTTAACAAACTATACCTATATATTCGAAATAGACCATGGACTCGACCGATTTAGTAGAACAACTAACCGTGAGTTTGCACTGATGTGATTTTTACGAAAAAACATGTTTTTAAACACTGTTTTCTGTCAATGTATCAAAAAGCGTTTGCATAGTCAAAGAAAATGTTGTATTGAAATATGTTGGACAGTTTATTGTACATTACATATTTTAACTAAATTATATCTTTATAACTACAGAAACAAAATGTTTGAAAACAAGTTTGTAGAAATATTGTCATGTTGAAAGATAAGTTTATATATCTGGTGAAAATTTTACACAGTTTTTGTGAGTGCAAACGCCACCAACAACAAAACATGTTGTACGATTTATTGTATGCGATTTTTTTTCAAAACATTACGTGTTAGATGTTTCTCGGTGCAAACGTACTGTTAGAAGTCAGCGACAAAACGTCACAAAGGTATGAGTAACAAGGATGGTGCTCTACAAAGCCGTGGTTAGCCAGTTATTTCCTTCTAAATCTCAATGTCTAATATCTACCAGGTTTATATATAATTATTTTTCCTAACTTATTACCTATGCATTCCTGTAGGACTTTCAAGGCCTGGTGCTCGCCAGTATGACGTAACTGGAGACACTGGCGAAGACGATGATTCCAACATACCAACACCTCCCCGACTTTCCACTTCACCGTTTTGTTTTATATACACTAAAATCATTTATAAATGATGCAAATTTAAACACAAAAAGAAAATGTTGGTATTAAAAATTACTTAAAATGAAACACTATAAAATAATAAAACTACTTTTATTTCGTGTGTCTTATTGGCGTAAATACGAGTATAAGAAACTGTCATTATAAATACGCCGTTTTCATATTTGAAATGAAATAATAGTTTAAAATGATAAGTAATTATATCGTAAAAAATATGTATCTTGAATAATCCATAACTATCTATTTTTGCTCATAAATCATTTTGGTTGAGTGAATTAAGAAAAACTGACGAAGATAAAAAAAATGTTATCAGCGTGTTTTAAATCCCAGTAAACTAAATTTGTCTCAAATAAAAGAATAATGGCTTTAGGATTCACTTAAAATTTTTATGAACATGAAAAATCAACTGACAAATGAACTTACAGTTCACCTGATGGTAAATACCTGCTGCAACACACGGCTTCCTTCGGCCAGCTTTAAACAAAGAAAGCTACAGATGCGTTGTCACCTCTGAGGACTAAAATGGAATACCTGTAGTCTGTAGTCTGTAATTTCTATACCCTTCAAACCGGAACACACGAGCAGGCACTTCTATTTGGCAGCAAAAATAGGTAAGGAAGTGGTATAAGTTACCCAGTTCAAAGCATCGAGTTATTTTTTTTATATAAGAGGGGGCAAACGAGCATGCGGCTCACCTGATGTTAAGTGACTACCGCCGCCCATGATAACTAGACAGTTAATGGATCATACTAACTATTTAGCATAAAATTATTGTGAGGTATGATGTTAATTATAATAAGGTAATATTATCTAAGGTATTTCTTTAAAACAATTATAGTTGCGCAAAAGTTATAATACGGTATAAATACGTAACATTTTATGGTATCAAAATTTTACAGTTGTTCTTTAATGATCATTTAATATTAACACGACAATAACGCTTAAACTATAAATTCACGCTATTGAAATAATTTGCTTGAATAGGTATTACACAATTTTTTATATTGTGATGTTTTGTTTACACTCGAGATTGTCTCTAAATTCGAGAAAAAATTGCGTAATAAATGTGAATGAAATAATGTAAAAATATAAAATAGTGCATTGCCGGAACTCCGGACCGCCGCTGGTGGACTATGATGCTTTATGGAAATAATGAATAAAAAGATAGATTTACTTGAAATTACTGACAGCTCAGTGAAGTGTCACCGGCTGGTGAGTCTTCCCATTCACGATGAGATGGCAACGAAAGCACTCTCTTTGCAGATTGTAAACACTCGTCGTCGTGTATAACGTAGCAAATCAGCATAGCTATGCCCTACAAGAGGTTCATAATTATAATTTTTAAACAGTATGGTTTTAAGCGTATTCAATGATAAAAATAGAAGATATTTTAATAAATATCAAGTTTTAGAAAATATTTTTTTATAAAAATAAGAATATAGAATTACATACATTAGCTAAAACAGCTGCAGAAAAGGCGGCAACCTGTGCTATGTGCCGTGTGCCTGGTTGAACATACATCACTCCTGTGGTCTGTGCTGCGGATGTTGTGAAGAGCAACACAAGCGTGTGCCGAATAATACGGCGCCTGTTAGTCCACAATGAAATGGGTAAATTTAATACTGCCAGCAATGCTACGAGGAAAACTTCAGTAGAATCACATTTACATTATATCCATATACCCTACGTACTGGTTAACTTCCCAGTGGGAAGTTATTGTAATTGGTCCGATTTTGCAAATTGGTTATTTTAACATATCTTCACGTTTTAAGGTCTATAGAGTCAAATAATATGGTTTTTATGGGGATGTCCGTGTATGCACATGTACGTATGTATCTCGAGAACAAATAGAGATATTGACATGGGACCAGTTTAATTTAACGCATATTATATAACTTAGACCTCATCAAATTTTGAGAAAAATCGGCGAAGTCGTTATTGTGCAGAATGAAAAATTGTGTAAAATATTAAAACATATAATATTTTTTTATTCTTTTCACTGGGAAGTTAGTCGTGCGGATCTTTCGGGTCGCACCTAGATCTCTTTTTTATCATAAAAAAGAACTCGAATTTAAGGACAAATTATGAAGAGAAGGAAACATTGCGTATCTGCATTCGCAAAAACAAATCTGTTAGTTCTAAACGAATGAAAACTTATGCGAATTAATTAAAAGTACTCACATACATAATATGGCAATATAACTTTTCGACTTTTCATTCATGTCATATTATAGTCTATTTAATCATAAAAATGCTGCACTGATTTTTTGAATTACAGTAGAATTTTAATGATTTAATAAAAAACTTACCGATCATTAAGATATGTTCTCCTTTCTGCTGGCATTTTATGTGTTATTGTTCTTAATCGAAACGATACACACAAAGCCAAAATAATACACAAAATAGCCAGAAGTGCACATCCAGCTGCACACACAACTTGCGAAGCTGATCCCAATTGTAATGGAGCACCTCCACAAAGACGAGCAGTCAGCCAAGCAAGTGTGCATACTCCTGAAAATAATTCAGTGAAATAAGTATCTCTTAGAGTAAAATAGTAGTATCTTGCCGCTGCTTGTCTCAAGATATCCGCAGTAGAAATTTATTGAGCGTTGGTGTATTTTTCTTGAATATTTCAAAAAGTGCTTAGTAGAAGATGCTTTTGAATTAAAGTATATTGAGTAAATGTATTTAAAAAAAACCAAAATGAAATCTTAGCACGAGTTCAGACAAAAGATAAGAGTATATCTAAAACTGCATAATAGAGTAAACTGAGTTCAATATTGAAAAAATAACGCACTGGAGCAGCTCGGGGGACTAACTACTCCAAAGCCCTCTATAAAATAATTCTCTCCTCTTTATAACTTTACATAACTTTTAAAGAACAGCCTAAAAACGACAAATACACTGATAGAGTCGAATATAACACAAAATAATAGACAGAAATTTATAGAAGACAAAACAGACAAAAACAGATAAGAAAATAACGAAACCCAGAGGATCTATTTATTAACCATTTTATTCTGCCATTGTTTAAAAAAAAGAATTAAAATTTAACATTAATGGGCCCTGCATAATTCCAATGACTTTTTATAGGATAGGTTGACAAACGAGCACACAGTCCACCTGATGGTAAGTGGTTGCTGTGGTCCATAAACATCTAAATCTATCCTCGATTACGAATCAAAATGCACATGCGTTGTCACCCGTGAGGACTAAGATGGAATGCCTCGTTTCTAACAAAAAAAGTCTCTGTTTCTTTACATTCACTATACAAAACATAGCAGTATTAAGCTAATATTTTACGCCGGTATTCTGTGAGAGTGTGGCCCTTCCCCGGTTGAGCCGACCCATTCGTGCTACAACTATACTACTAATAATGGCTCTACGACGTAGACTTAGTTATAAAATTCAATACATTGCTCCATATAGGAGTTGCCGTTAGAATCGAGTCTGAGTCAAGGATAAAGGTGTACGAGCTAAAATCGCTAACCTGCCACTAAGCCAACTGATGGCGCTCGTTGACCCCTTCCAGCTAACTCAGCTTGAAGCATTAACGGTTGCGCACATAGCGCGGCCCACCCTGCGCACCAACATGCTGCGCAAAACCAACCAAGCGCTCCTGGACATGCCTCCTCCTTTTAAATATTTATTGATTTTTTTTAACTACCCAAAAACATAAGTTTTTACATTAATTAATTAAGCTGCTCTTTTGGTTTTAAATTTATACTACACAATAAAAAATTCTATGATATGAAGATCCTTTAACAACAACAATAAAACCGCTATGAGCTTTATTTTTATGATTCTTCACAATATATAATAGAGTACATAGTAATTGTAGCCCGTTCGGATATACTGTAAGTAAAATGAAGCAAAACGAAATCATGCAAATATAAGTCTCTGAAAGGTCCGTGTCAGTCCTTAGTGCGGTTAAATTCATGTTAGAACTGTATGCGCGACTTGTCGTCGCCGTTGATGATAAGAGCTGATTGGCTTTAATATAAGAAGCTGGTTTTTTTCTCGCTCAAAAGCTAAGTATAGCCATTCAGCAAGGAAACACAGTCAACGATCTTGGCATAATATCACAGAAAGTAGGATTATAATAAATAGTGTAGATATATTTTCATGAAGTAAATAAATAAATATGACGTTACTGTCTTACAAAGAGAACCAGATTTATATTATATAATCGTAACAGTAACGTATACATAATAACATATTTTTAACTTTTGCTGCTTATCAAAACAGAGTTTTATGACTAACTGATATTAATATACACCGAGCCGAGAGTATATACAGTATAAATGTGTAGATTATGTTAACCTTAATCATTAAATTGGTGTTATATTTTAGTTTGCTTATGCTTCTCTTAGGTTTTTAGAGTTACACTTAAATAAAATAGCTTTACATAAATGTTTCGCTAAAACACTTTTACGTGAGTAATTTAAATACAAAAAGCCACAGATGAGTTGCTACCCCTGTGGACTAAAATGAAATGCCTCGCAGCCTGTAATAGCCACATATCAATAGTTGCATTGCTGATTAGCACACCTACTCCTAAGTAAAAAAGCAGCCCTATCAGTAAAAATGGGTTCTTACTTTGACTGTGGATTCTCTATTCGACTATATGACGAATACATACGTAATATATATGAGTATTGGTAACTAAATCGTAAACCATCTCTAGTACCACATTTATTAGATATACAGAAATACTAGTATTGATATGCATATATTGTTTAATAAAATAGTTACCTGTCTACTATCACATTCCAACAGCATTAATATTGCAGCGGAATGTGTGCCTGCTGTTGCAGCTTTTAATAGGACGGGCAGCCGAGGCTTTTTGGCTGGAACTAGAGCCAAAAGCTGTAAAACCGCAGCCGTAAGACACATCGCTCCGCCTAAACCAACAGTAATTTTCACCACCCCTCGTAGATCCCTATCAACATCAGTCTGTGGGAATCAGAAAACATATTAAGATTTGTAAAGAATTGACACGTGAATGTCCTTGTTTTATATAAATTTCGATGTGTTTACCATATAACCGACCGGATTTTGCCTTACAGCATCATCAGAGTATTTAAGTAAAGTTAGTGATGTCTTAAGGCGAAACTGTTCAGTCAATCATATACAAATGAAGTTTCGCGATGATTGTGACGCTGTGACGATACAACGCCTGTTTGTCATGCAGTGCGGCGAAATCATTGCGATGCAGTGCCACCGAAACGAATCTAGTGACTTCAGTATTATAAGTCAGCATTTTTGAACCTACGGTCTGAGTGAAAGTTGTTCATCAAGTATGTTTTGCGACGCTTTCGGCATACATTTCGGGCAGTCTCCACTCAGGACACTTTAATAAAAGAGGGTGGATTTATCATATGCGCCATAAGCTCCGACCCGTTTCACGCTTAGTACTGAGTTTTATATGAAGGTCTTCTAAAAAAATATGACGTCATAGCAATTACTCGCTCTATTATTAGTATCTAGAGTGGACCCGCTAAAGTTGTATGAAAAACACGCAGCCACGCTACATGCTCCACTAAACGAAGCTGTAGGATTAGGCAAAGCAATATTGCTGTAATACTTGTGTTTCTAATGTCGCCTCTTACATCTCCTACAGAATGATATGGTGTCGTGGATTTCTAACGCCGCCACTACACGACATACATTATTCCTGTCATCTTATTTATGTTTGGTTAAAATAAGACATGATTGTATTGATTTCAAAATACGAGTAAACTTAGCTCGTCAAAAATTTTCAAGTGTATCTTTTTGTCCAGTTTTCTATTAGCTTACACGTATCAAATGACGGATCACGTAAATTTGAAGGGTGGGACGAGAACAAACTTTCGGCAATTGCGAGATAAAATCATTTGGGTCTATGCCAAAAAAGTTTCACTTCTAGTATTCGTGTCTCAGAAAAACATCTTATTTTTTTGACTAAACACTTTAACTACAAATCATTCTTATCTTTTTTGTTGTATACTAATTACTTGCCAAATATATACTTACGAGCTTAGGTTGCGCTATTGTAAACAGTGCAAAAGTGCCGAGTCCACGACATCGACAAGAGACATAAGTTGATTCTGCAATACGCACGTCGCATGCTTTTATATTCCAAATATGAGGTTCTGAAGTTGTGCGTAAACCACAAGCTAACCTAGATTCTGCAAAATAGATTCATATATAATAAGCTATGATAGAAAAGTTGAATTATTTACTAATAAATAATCTCTTTTATTCAATTTTAGAAATGAAAATTTTAGAGGAGTAAAATTTAATAATTAGTTGTATTACGGACAGGTGTTACTTCATTTTGTCGTGTAGTGGCGGAGTGAAAATCCACTACTCTTTATAACATGCAGTAGTCCAGTGTCGTATGAGGCGACAAAGAAAATTAAAACAGAGATAGGTAATCTTCCCGACAACTACTCACAATAAAAAATTTGCCAAGCGTAGCAACTATGACAAGTTCCTCCTATGAGACAATCTATGAGTGAGGCCTAGGTTCAGAAATGGACTTTGATAGGCTTGAAACGCTTGCATGAATTCTTGAATGAATTTCTCATTGTGTATTACAGCCTATTAAAGTTCAAGTTTCGATACATACAACGAAGGAAATGATCACTATCAATTAACATATTTTTTTGATTTAATTATCATTTTCTCTTAATATAATATGGTATCTTATATTATATTCTTACCTACAGTGCTATAGTTCTTATAATGTGTAAAAAGCAGAGTCACTGAGTGTTGCAGTGATAAATCTAAACCATTGGCGTGAGCTGACACTTGAATTTGTTGTGACGTCGGCATATATTCCAGCTCACGTCCGTTTGGGGAAAATGGACGGCTGGAAAATCGGTTATATTGTAGTGCTATAACAAGTTAAATTAATTTGATACTAAGAAAGGTTTTTGGATTTTGATTTAACTTCGGTGCAAATTACATTATGTGCGAGCATAAACAAATTTATTAGGTGTGATAGATAAAAAAATGTAAAATTTAGAAGCCATATTGTTATCAATTATTCAAAATTTCATTTTTCGTGATATAGCCACGCTGTTGATGCGTTATTTTTGCTGCAATTATAGATTAGCTCTACTGGAAAAGAATCATGCTCACTCATAAAATGAGCGTAAAGCGTTATATCTGTATTTGTTAGTTGTTGTTATACGCCTAGAAACGAAGACCCTTTTAAAACTGGTAAAGAGTCCCCGCGGGGGTAAAAGCGCTATTATTGAACAAGAAAAAAATAAGTTTGATGATACACTTATTTGTATATAAAAATACATTGTACATTGTATCACAGAATACCAACGTAAATAGTAGATTAATACTGCTGTGTTTAATATGGTGAGTATAGAGAATCGGAGACTCTACTGGAAACGAGGCATTCCATCTTAGTCCTCACGGGTGAAAACCCATCTGCATTTTTATTCGTAATCGAGGATAGATGTAGATGTTTATCGGCCACAGCAACCACTTACCATCAGGTGGACTGTGTGCTCTTTTGTCACCCTATCCTATAAAAAAAGATCAATAATAAAATAAAATCGCTTTTAACGAATTTGATTTGTAAGTTTGCAGTAAGTAAAATATTCCTGGTTTTTATACTTTGTGCTAAGCAATTTAAAGCGTGGTACATGAACTGAATGTTAATTATTTTAAATAGTTTGTTTAATTTAGTTTTGTACGAGGGTGGATTGAAAAGTACTCGGCCTAACCAAGAAAATAAACACATACTAAATCAGTTATATTTTTATTTTTCTACATAATCACCATCAAGTTCAAACACTTTTGCCACCTCCCCTTCCAAGCATTTAGACCGTTGAAAAAAAATGATTATTCCTTAGAGTCAAAATATGCGTCTACAGCTGCTTTGACCTCGTCGTTTGTCGAAAATGTTTGACCTCCCAAGTGCTTTTTTAGGTTAGGGAACAGAAAGAAGTCTGATGGTGCCAGATCAGGTGAATACGGCGGATGCGGTAACAGTTCAAAAACACAACAGTTCAAAAGCCACAGTTGTGAATTTCAGCCATTGACTGTACTGACGTGTGAACACGGGCGTTATCTTGATGAAACAGGACTTTTCTTCTGAGCATTCCTCGACGTTTTTCTTTTATTTCCTCTCATAAACGACGTAGTAAGGTGCATTAGTAATCAGAGTTTATAGTCTGACCCCTTTCAAGATAATCAATCATAATCACACCTTTCGAGTCCCAGAATACTGAAGCCATCACCTTATTTGCCGACAAAATCGATTTAGCCTTTTTAGGGGGTGGTGAACCAGGTCTTCTCCACTGTTTTGATTGTTGTTTTGTTTCCGGTGTACAGTAATGAACCCATGTTTCGTCCATAGTAACAAAACGATTCAAAAAATCATCTGCATCGGCTTCAAATAACTCCAAACAGTCGCGTGAAATAGTCAATCGCGTCCTTTTTTGTTCAACTGAAAGCAGTCGCGGAACCCACCTCGCAGACACCTTGTGGAAACCCAACTCGTTGGCAATGATGTTTTGAGTTCGTTCATAAGAGATGCCTATAATCTCGGCTATCTCTCTAATTTTTAATCTGCGGTCTCCCATTATTGAATCAAGTACTTTTTTAATATTTTCGTCAGTAGTTGACGTCGAAGGCCTTCCAGAGCGGGGTTCATCTTTCACACTCTCTCTACCACGCTTAAATTCTGCTATCCATTTTTTGACGGATGAATATGACAGAACACAATCGCCTAATGTACTTACCATGTCATCATGGATGGCTTTTGATGATAGCCCCTTCTTATGGAGGTACTTAATGACGGCACGCTGCTCGATTTGCTCCATTCGCGGAAATTATGTCCGATTACTTTGTTAATAAATTTATAAAATCACAACTAATTATCGCACACGTTTCGAACTTCACACAATGAACTAGTCTGAACTGAACTAAATAATGTGGGTAGATTTGATTTTTAGAATTGAATGGATCTGTGTTAGGCCGAGTACTTTTCAATCCACCCAGGTAATAATAGTGACTTACCTATGCTCAAATGATTTTCTCAGAGAAGGTAGTCTTGGCGTTAAGTTGCGATATTGAATCACAATGACTGAAGCATTTCCAATTCTTCCTATTAATTCCACTCCAGCAGATGTAAGTACCCAATCGTAAGTGCCGACGGAGGGTGAAAAGTTAAAATGCGCAGCATTGTCTTCTTTTATCGGTTGAGTTTTAACTGTAAGTTCTCGGTTTAATATGTTCACATATTCTTTCATACCAGCCGTTTCGACAACTGCATTTTGGAGCTCGTATATTTTCTAAAACCATCAATTTCATTTAAAACTTATTTTCTCTATAATACAATTATAATTTGTAAATGTTATTGAAACAAGTTACATGTCCAGTACAACTCATCGACATCAACGCTTATTTTTACTGCTAAAAAAGAACTATAGAAGATGACAACACAAAATGACTAATCATTGCGCTAATTACAATTCGGGCTACAACATCGAGCTTGTATTAAAAATCCATTTCATTAGCTTATTAAAGCATAACTTTAGAAACAGGTACCTGAAAATAAGTGTTATTCAAGGTTAAGTTTGATAATTTAACCGCTCAATGCCCTAGCGGTCTCATGAGACCGCGGCCATATTCCGTCTCGGTGGTTTTATCGTCACGCCGCTAGACGCGCCGCTGCGCAGCGTGCACTATAAAACGAAATTTGTACCGCGCGTTCCGCTGCTGTGAGATAGTCGTGTACAAAATGTATCACGTGAATGCGTCTAGAGTACTGGCTGCTTACATTTTATGGAATAGACAACACCGATTTAAAAGAAGAGTAGTTGATCCTTATAACAAGGTTACTGAGAGGCGAACACGTAACATCTTTCTCCGACTTACGAGGAAATAATTATAAATTTTATAAATATTTTCGCATATCAACAAGCGGTTTCGTCGAATTACTCTGCAAGTTAGAGTTTTCTTTACGACGATCTAGCTTACGTTGCATCCCCATAACTCCTCTGTAAAAATTGGCGATCACTCTAAGATTAGTGAAAAAAAAGAGTATTGAATAACATTAACATTTTTAATCAGTCTTATTTTAAGCACACTCTAATTTTGTGTCCCATAAACATCTTCTAAATCGCACTTCCTCAGTTACTCGTCTCGTATCGCTGTAATGTTGTACACCACAGTACCTAACGGCACGTCTCAACGGCCTCACACTAAAACGCATACTGGATGTGGATGTAGAGGCGCCTGAGCGGCGCGCGCTTCGGCAGTGCCGGTGAACAACGCGCGCTTACTGAACGAGCTCAAGCGAGCGACTTTGAAACGCAACTACTACCCCAATACATATCGGAACGCTCGCGCACCAACAGCGCTGCCGAGACGCGTAACGATAAAACCAGCCTCAAATCCCTAGCGGTCATGAGACCGCACCCACCCACAGCACTATATTCCATAACATCTTATATTTAAAAACTACTTTTCTATGAAGACGTTTGGCATTATAGGATCAATATGAAATTTTCTATACTATAATTGAATAAAAATTCAGTTAGTCTATAGATATTCATTTATGATCTACATTCAAAGTGTTTGTCGAGTGTTTGTTGTTGTGCATTGTTGCGTTGATTTTCCTAAGTTAAGACCAGTTTTTATATAATAAAATTGTTTTTTATTATATAAAAAATTTATAATTTATCTGTGTACGTAAATAATTTCGAATAATATATAGAAGTAGTAGTAATTTTCACTCTACCGACATCCGCTTGGTATGTACCTAGTTACCAATATGCAATATTTTTTATTGATTAATCCATTGAATAACTGTCTTTTGTTTAAGCTACAGAATATAGAATTTTGTGGAGATTCTATAATGTCAAACTTCTTGATAGAAAAACTTATATATATATATATATATATATATATATATATATATATATATATATAAGTTTTATGGCATACGTCCATCAAAACCCGAGCGGTCGCATGGGACTGCACCCACGCACAGCACTTAAAATCATTAAAACTTATATTTATACACTACTTTTCTTTAAATAAGTTTGGCATTATAGAATCTATACGAAATTCTCTATATATATCTATGCGAACGGTGAAGAAAATTTAGTTAAATATTCTTAAACATTTTATCCTTTTTATCGTTTAAATTCAGAATGCGTGATAATGCATTATTTCAACTTATTTTCAATTATAAATATGTTACGCCTACTTTACTATGTTACCTAAGCACACATTTGTTGACAAAAACGTTGAGAAATGAATCGCATACAGAGGAGCGCGCAATTTGGAATTATTCAAAATAAAAGTAGAAGCCAACATATTTCCTTTTTTTGTACAAACTACCACACAGGCCACCTGATTATAAGTGGATGCTGTGGTCCATGAACATATTTTCATCAACTTTAATAACGGTATATAATTATTAATATATTTGAACTTATATAAACGTTTGAATACTCTTAGAAAAATAACCTTGTATATACAAAGATACGTAATTACACCAAAGTAGGCGCTTACCTCTTCGTCGAGAAATGAATCCGGATGCCTCAAAAGCGTATCATAAATACTTAGCAAATGTTCGATACTTTTAAATCGATCTCTTAAATTTCCAGCTGCTGATAGAAGATACTCAACCATGCTGCGAGAATGACGAAGTGGAATTACTCCCGCTCCAGGAAGGGCGGGGAGAGAACGTAATAAAGCACCGTATTGATGCGCAATGTCCGCTACGTTTGACCATGAGTAACCATAAGATATACGCGTAAACTGCAATAATATAAAGCTTGAAAAGCCTAAGTTTATATTTTTAACTAAGTAACCCACTTTTGTGTATTTATTCATTGGGGGGTATTTGCCATAGTTGCCACGCTTGGCGAGCGGGTTGGCAACCGCAGTTTTTTATTACGTCACAGTTGTTATCAGGAAGATGCTGCTGCCCATCTCCTGCCTGTCTCGCTCTGTCGCCTTTTACGACACCCACGGGAAGATATGGGGTAGTGGATATTCTCAACCGGTGGATATTCTCAACCGGAACTTTTTTTTCGACCATGGTAATGGCGGGGCAGGGGGTGCTAAGAATCTCCAGTGGAGGTTCGGTTGCCACCTACGACGACTCGACCTGGCAACATATAACGCACGCACCCTGAGGACTGACGAGAAGATACTAGAGCTGGAAGAAGAGGTAGACAAGTTGCGCTGGCATATTATTGGATTATCCGAGGTCCGAAGAGAGGGGGAGGACACGGCAATCCTCGAGTCCGGCAACTTGTTCTATCACCGGGAGGGCGACCATCTGTCCCAAGGAGGTGTCGGATTTATCGTCCACAAGTCTCTCGTCAACAACGTTGTAAAGATTGGGAGTGTGTCGACGAGGGTCGCGTACCTGATACTCAGAATCACCAAACGGTATTCGCTGAAGGTCATTCAGGTTTACGCACCAACCTCGGCACATCCCGATGAGGAGGTGGAGGAAATGTATGAGGATATTTCCAGAGCCATACATTCCTCCAAAACCCACTACACGGTGTTGATGGGAGACTTCAACGCAAAACTAGGCACAAGAGAAAGCGGTGAGCTGAAGGTAGGGAAATTTGGAGTAGGGCAACGGAACCGAAGGGGCCAGCAGCTGGCCGACTTTATGGAGAAAGAGGGACTCTTTATGATGAACTCTATCTTCCAGAAGCGGCCCCACAGGAAGTGGACCTGGTCGAGCCCCGACGGTTCGACAAAAAATGAGATTGACTTCATTATGACGACCAGACGCCAACTGTTCAGTGATGTCTCAGTGATCGCAAGGGTGAAAACTGGCAGCGATCACCGAATGGTTAGAGGCACACTGAACCTAAACGTTAAGTTGGAGAGGTCTCGTCTAATGAAGTCAACGCTCCGTCCCCCTCGTGCTCTAATCCAGAATCCCGAAACCTTTCAGCTCGAGTTACGTAACCGCTTCCAGTGCCTAGAAGATTGCAATGCAGTGGATGATATGAACGACAAGCTCGTGGAAACTGTCCATGCGATCGGAGCTAAGTTCTGCAAGACCCGCCGCAGAAGAACACAAAAAGTCTCCGATCACACTCTTAATCTCATGGCTGTTAGACGGGAGATGAGGCTGCAATCGTCAACAGATTTGACAGCATACAGGCAACTGAACAGACAGATCTCCAAATGCATGCGGCGAGACTTACGCAACTTTAATACCTCTCGTATTAAAGAAGCGATCGAGCGGAACCAGGGCTCCAAAGTCTTTGCCATCTGTCTGCCAGAAAGAGCCAACTGTCAAAGCTGAAGACTGAGTGTGGCAACATCGTTTCCGGGACACCTGAGATTTTGAGTGAGATTGAGAGGTTCTATGGGCAGCTGTACACATCATCGTTGGAGCCACACGCAAGTGTGAGTAACGATCCAAGAGCAAGTCTTATCCGACACTATTCCGATGATATCCCGGACGTCAGTCTGAGCGAGATTAGAATGGCTCTCCACCACCTTAAAAACGGCAAGGCCCCGGGCGAGGATGGAATTACGGCGGAGCTTCTGAAAGCGGGTGGAAAACCGGTACTTGAAGTCCTTCGGAAGCTCTTCAATTCCGTCCTCCATGGTGGCACTACTCCCGAGGCGTGGAGCAGAAGCGCGGTGGTTTTGTTCTTTAAGAAAGGCGACAACGCTCTCTTGAAGAACTACAGACCGATTTCCCTTCTGAGCCGCGTCTACATGCTATTTTCGAGAGTCATTACGAATCGTCTCGCACGCAGACTCGACGACTTCCAGCCTCCCGAACAAGCCGGTTTCCGAAAAGGCTTCAGTACCATAGACCACATACATACCCTGCGGCAGATTGTACAGAAGACCGAAGAGTACAATCTGCCACTTTGCCTGGCATATGTGGACTATGAGAAAGCCTTTGATTCCGTCGAAATTTGGGCGGTGCTACAGTCCCTTCAGCGGTGCCAAGTTGACTGTCGGTACATCGAAGTGCTGAAGTGTTTGTACAGTAGGGCTACGATGGCTATCCGAGTACAGAACCAGAGTTCGAAACCTATCCAACTGCAGAGAGGTGTAAGACAGGGTGATGTTATATCCCCGAAACTCTTCACCGCTGCGTTGGAAGACGTTTTCAAGCTACTGGACTGGAAAGGATACGGTATTAACATCAATGGCGAGTACATCACTCACCTTAGATTTGCCGACGATATAGTCATTATGGCAGAATCGCTGGAGGACTTAAGCATTATGCTCAATGACCTCAATAGTGCCTCCCAACGGATAGGTCTTAAGATGAACATGGACAAAACAAAGATCATGTTTAATGTCCATGTCACACCTATGCCGGTAGTTGTTGGGAGCACTATGCTCGAAGTTGTTGACGAGTACGTTTACCTGGGACAAATAGTCCGACTAGGTAAGTCCAACTTCGACCGAGAGGTCAATCGACGGATTCAACTCGGCTGGGCAGCGTTCGGGAAATTACAACATATCTTTTCGTCAGGTATACCTCAATCTCTAAAAACTAGATTGTACAACCAGTGCGTGTTGCCAGTGATGACTTACGGATCTGAGACGTGGTCCTTCACTGCTGGCCGTATGAGGACGCTTAAGGTCGCTCAGCGAGCTATGGAGAGGGCTATGCTTGGAGTTTCTCTGCGTGATAGACTCAGAAATGAGGATATCCGCAGTAAAACCAGAGTGACCGACATAGCCCAACGGATTAGTAAGCTGAAGTGGCAATGGGCCGGCCATATAGCTCGAAGAACCGATAACCGATGGGGAAGAAAGGTTCTCGAGTGGCAGCCTCGTACAGGTAGGCGTAGTGTAGGGCGACCCCCCACTAGATGGAGTGACGACCTGGTAAGACATGCAGGAAGTCGATGGACGCAGGTGGCTCAGGACCGTGCTTTGTGGCATTACTTGGGGGAGGCCTATGTTCAGCAGTGGACTTGTGAAGGGCTGTAATGATGATGATGATGAACCCACTTTTAAGAAAAATATTTATTATACCCTCAAAATATAAAATTGAATTACAAAATATACCTGATCGTAAATATCTCGTAAAGAATCAGCAATGCAACCTGAAAAATCCGGCAACATCCATTTTACTCCATGTTGAGTAGTTTTTGGTTCGCAAAAGCTGAAACAATTTTTAATTTAGTGCCGTAATCAACGTTAATGGCATAATTTATTTCATAATATTGAAAGTACCGTGTAGTTTCTCCAGTATGACCGGGTGGACAAGATGCAGAAGCGTGAGCACCGGGTGCAGTTTTCGGCCAACGAAGTCCATGGGACGCTTCAGCTTCACAAGCTTCATCGTTCCCTCCCAGAACCCACATGGTAACTCCTTTTGCATTCGTTCCCACGATCGATGAAACTTGGCAACGGAATTCGCCAGATTTCTGTATAAAATGTTTATATTTAATAATGAATATTCATTATAGTCTGCACGTTAATTAAATTAAACAACCTGAGCCTTATTAATAGAAGATATTTGTTTTCAATACTACGCTTGGGGTGCAACGGATCGACAATCAGTCATGTTTCATCTATGACGTCGCTTCGTTGGCGACGTATAAAATTAGGTAATTTTGTTTTGGAAATTTATGTTACTTTGTTCAATGTACAAGGGACCTAATTTTTTTTAATACTTTCGTAGACTTTGATATTTTGTACCGAGTATAAATTATTTATATCTTGCATTTTTCGTCAACCTTCGAGAAATTTTAAAGGATAATATTTGACAACAAATAAAGTAGACCAGGGGCGTGTTAGCATCATTAAGATAGGTACTAAAATGGAATACGTCGTAGTCATTATACTGGATTTCACATGCTTCAAACTGGATCACAGTAGTGGTTCCATTACTAATTAGCAGCAGAATTGATTGAGAGACCTAAATAGATAGACTCTTAGACATAAAATAAGCCATACCTAGATCAATCAATTTCACTAAATTAAGAGACAATACGGCAAAATAACAAATTAGAGTAAATTTAATTAAAACTTACTTGAACGTTATATAGTTTAAGCACACTACCGGCGGGATAAAGGTCTTCCCAAACTTCTCGTCCAGGAGCAAGTTTCAACAGTGTTTTCTCCCTCGCCCAACTAAAACCAAGTGCTCCGTGAGCTCGACTAGCACCAGCTAAACATGTGATGCTTACGTTATCACCCTGTTAAATTATGGAAGGTAAATTAGGTATATTTTTTTAAATACGAAATTCAATACTATTACGAAATGTCATTCTCATCTTCATCATAAAACTTTGTAAGTCCACCGCTGGACTTAAGTTTACCGCAAAGAGAAGAGAAAGAATTAAGTTAGCTAAATATTTAGCCGCATGCATTTGTATTTTCCAACTTGCATTGATTAGATTATGTGCGAGTATATGATTGAAGTATAGTTTCAAGGGAATTTTAAAAATAATAACATGCAGTGAGATTTTAAGCCTCTTTTCACTGCTTGAGGAACAATTACTACACTTACTTTTATTATTTCAACGAACTGCAACGTGAATTCTAAATAAAGAGTTTAAACAAAGAAGACATATCAATACTGAATAAAAAAATTCAATATAACGCAAAATATACGAGTTTTTTGAAAATTGTACGAGTATTTTTTTGCGTCAAAGCGAGGTGTATCAGAAAATGTAAAATAAACATCTTAGGTCGTAAAATATTAACTGCTGTTATATTAGTAGTATAGTTGTAGCACGAGTGGGTTGGCTCGACCGGGGAAGGACCACGCTGTCACAGAATACCAGCGTCAAATAGTAGCTTAATGATGCTGTGTTTCGTATGGTGAGTGTAGAGAGCCGGAGACCCTTTTTACTGGAAACGAGGCGTTCCATCTTGGTCCTCACGGGTGACAACGCATCTGCATTTTGATTCGTAATCGAGGATAGCTGTATATGTCTATGGGCCGCAGCAACCACTTACCATCAGGTGGACTGTGTGCTTGTTTGTCACCCTATCCTATAAAAAAGACATAAAAACATAAATTATAAGAACTTTTAGACTCAAAGACTCTATAAAAATAAGGGTACATCGACATACAGTCCACCTAATGGTAAGTGGATGCTTTGACTCACAAACCCTTCCGTTTTGTCATATCTACGAATTAAGATGGAATGTTTGTTTCTTTCTAAGAATAATGGATTCCGTTATTCTTCACTTAACATACGAAGCACTGATTTATTTAAACAAATGTTATTGCTATCATCTGACTTTATTAGTGATTGGGTGGAAAACAATATTCATTAAAAATTAACAAAAGAGGCAGCAATACTTACTGAGTTTATTTGATAAAATACTTTGAAATAACATGCACAGAAAACAACTCACGTTGATTGTTGCAATTGGTAATCAATTTAAAGACCTGTTTTTAATTTAATATATAATTTACCAAGTAATATATGGCGTGCGTAATAATATATGAGAGAAAATTCGATCTTCATTCCGTGGGTGCAAATAGATAAATTAACATAATACCTTATTAACGGTCAAGGCAGAGGGCATAAGACGAATATCAGGTGGACGAAGTACTACAAGTCTTAGTGCTCTGCAGCGTCGTCTGCCTGCGTCATAAGCAGAACAAGACCATCTTCCACTATCTAGTGTTCTAGCTTCAGATACTCCTAACACTGACATACGCCTCCCCAAAGCATCTTCAGCTACTGTGCGGGTCCAAATATCCCTAAAAATATTAAGTTATTTCTTATTATTAAATTTTACTTACCTCTTTTATTAATAGATTTATGGGGATCAGCAGTCAGTGATTGAAACAAATCAGAGAGTTTATTACATTAGGTTTATATAAGCAAGTAACAATCTTTACGCTTTTAATTCAGTAATTTACTTTATATTTATATATTTTACGCACAGCCGATGTATGTTATTAACAAATTGTATTATATATTATATCTATTAGTAAAATAACATAAGAAAGCTATTAAAACAAAAGGAAAATTCCAACAATTGTGTGATATGCAGCTGTATGGACCCGCACCCACGCTTGTAGAGGTGGCAAGTCCCACCAATCAGCAAACGCACAAATGATAATTTTGGTGCTGTTCCTCAAACGGATCGACGCGGATGCACATCGCCTCTAAACAATCGTGGCGATGCCGTCAATACGAGTATCAGCGAATATGCCAGAGGTGCTCCATCGCCATGGCGTCCCCAAAAGTATCCTCAAGGTATTGTTATATTCAACACGAAAATTGCTGCCTGCTCGCTGGGTATATCTAAACTACAGGCTGCAACAGTAGAACGACTGACAAGAAGCTTTAAAAAGCCTTACTTAAACTAACCTACTACAATGCGCAAACCTGAGAGTCAGCATATTACAACAAACCGCCAACAATCTACGCCCCATTTCACTTTTCAAATCAACTATAACCCATTGGCCCAGGTGCTTATAACTCGCAACCCACTTTAAAGGTTACCCACACAATAAAATTTCCGGAATTTCAGTGTAAATAACTGATCACAACTTAAATTGAATACTTCCACTTTTACTTGTGTTATACTTAAGCCCATGAGCCATAGCCGTAGCCCTCACAACCAGACGAAACTCGTCCCATCCCGCTAATAGGTGGACTTATCAGCACCATATCGTCAGGATAACTGATATTAAAACTATCTACGTAACAGACAACGTTGGTACTGTTGAGTCGACCCATCAGCTGGTTTACATAGAGGTAAAACAGTCTTGGAGAGCTTATCTCACCCTGCCTCATGCCATATTGCAACCCATATACATCAGAAAAAGAGCTATCTCATTTCAACATTTTTCTGGTGTCCGTACCAGTACTGATATATTCCCATCTTATAGCTTCTTTCACAATTTACCATAATTTATAACGTCAGAACTCTAGACAAATCCAAAAAACTTGCGACTGCAGGCGTTTTATCTGACAGTATAGTAGTGGACAGTCTGTTTAAGGACAAAATAGCATGTTGTCGACAAACCGGACCTAAATTCAAATTCGTTATCTTTTAGTTGCATATGCTAATATGCTTTCAAGCAGATTGTCTCGTACTATTGAGTTAATAGTGGTTAAGGATTGGTCTATAATTCGAAATATCAGAGGCACCCTTTTTGTCATTTTTTTCCGATGGGGAAATAACTGCGCATCTCGACTTGCAATGTAACGACGGATTATGTCGAACCCGCACCGATTAAAGCCCCGTGGTGTTCTTCTTCTTATTAAAAATATCACCTTCACACTTAGATTTTCTCCTATATCGTGAGGGTAGTTAATATACATACGTTTTACAAGAACAAACGCGCAGACCTGGAGCAATTACTTTCAGGCCATAAGCTGACATAGTGCTTTCGCAAACGTCCTCTGCTCCACCATCGCTGGCGGCCAAAAACACGTTCTTGCCTAGATTAAACTTTTCTGATCATATAAGATGACAGATATAGGTATATACCACCCTCAGAAAGAGCAGCATTAAAAGTGCCAGATTTCTGGTATATATAGATATTCTGGCGTTTGCGAATATATCTACACAGCGAGATTAAGACAAAACCCATATCATACTATAATATCAGCTTAAGAGAAAAAATAAGAAATAAAATTAATTTTAAAAATACTGATACGTTAATATAAGTAACAAGCTATTTACTGTACTTACACTTCTGTTAGAAATATAATATCTGTATTTCCATACCTGGTAGTTCCATTAAAGTTAATGTTAACTCCATCTTTATACCAAGTAAATTCAATATCCGGTGATCCATACGCCATACAGCTGAAAATAAACTCAGATCCCTCCCACACCTCCGGTCTTTGGTTGACTATTAAAGCCTACAACAATAGTAAGAAATATAATCCTAAAAATGTACAAAGTGCAGCGTGCCATGAAATAGCGGCGTGAGAGTATTCTGTACCCCATAATATTAGCCTGCTGGTGACGTAAGAGGCGATAGACGGAAAATGAAACAAAAGATGGACAGTATCATCTTTCTAATAAGGGCAAGAAAAATTAAAAAAAAACCGTGGTTGTTTACCCACCTGCAAAGCGTGGCAAGTATAGAAAATATTCCCACTGTGAAGCAATCAATGAGAGAGACCCATGTTCAGTACGGGACTGTTAACTAGTTTTAATTAATAAATGAATGAAAATTTCATGTCTTATATTATTTGAACTACAAATAATAAAAGAGTATTCACATGTAAACTGAGAGCCGGCTGCATATCAAAATGTAATGTTGCTGGTAAGACTCTTAGCTGGTCAGTGAGAGTCCGCGTTGCAGCTAGACGAGAAAAAGCCGCTCTCAAAGTGCCTGCTTCTCGACGCGTGCTCCATACTCGCAACCAAACTGTTCGAGCGCCATTTATCTCCGGAGAGCTGAGAAAAAATAAAATAATAAATATATAGCATAGAAAAAGATTTCTATGAGCCATAGCATCCACATACCGTCGAGTGGACTGTGTGCTATTTTGTCACCTATATTGTATTAAAAGTCTTAAGATTTATAATTTTTTGCATTACTTTGTAGATATTAAATTAATACGTAGTGTCTATGATCAAAAACTACAGCGCTAGCCAACCCGCTTTACATACTGACTTTACATAGTTTATACAAGAGTTTTTCTTCGGCTTTGAACACATTTTCAATTGGAGCGTAAAATAACACTTATTGCGGGCTTTTAAGTACAGTCCAATCAAATCAAATTGATCTTAGGCATTATTTTATATGTTCAGCAGCAAATATATCGATTTAGTATTATATACTTTAATCAATAATACTACTAGATTCTCGATAAGCGCTTCAAAAACCGCCCGAAATATAAGACCACAAATACTTTTGTGGTCTTATTTCAAATTAGTATGGTCCAATCACAGCCATTTTAACGAACATTGAAATGTAATACCAAGAATAAAATAGAGTAAGTATGAAATTATTAACACAATATTTTAACCTTATCACTTAGACTTTAAGTTTCATTTTAGAATAAATATTTGTGTACTTATGACTTTTTATATTCAAGCGGTATCTTTGTCGGATGCCATAACTTAAGTAAACATTTATTTTGCAATGATATTTAAACTTTTTGTTTGAGTGATAAGGTTTATAATAAACTAAAGTTGTTAATATTTTTAATCTTTTTTTTTTATATTTCATAGTAAGAAATGTAGATGTTTATGTGTGTGCAAACGTGGCCACTTGAGCGACTTATTTTTGTTCCTGATCCTTAATCTAGTATAATCATTGATCGAAGATTATATCAGACAAAGTATGTTACACACACAAAACACAAATATTATATCATTACTTTAAAATTTATTTTTATTTGGACTGGAAAATGGCAAATGTCAATTACAATATTTACCCGACAGCCCCAGAATGAGGGTAACGTTTTTCGTTCTATTTCTTTACGCGCTCTGTAGCCTAACCGGCTTCATGATTTTGAACATATTATGTGGTATAGTTAGATTCGTCTTTGTTGTGGTACAATTTTTTTTCTGTGATCTACTTGACGCAGTTTCAAGAATAGAACTTGTTTAATATAAAAATTTGTTTTAATATTGGATGTATAATGTTATTCCCTCTTACCTCATATTTAAAATTTCAATTTCATCTTCTAATGTAATATTAGATGCTCTGAGATAATTAAATATCTGAAAAATAATTAAATTATAATCCAACAATTAATGATTCAATACAAAACTTAAGACAGCATTCTATATAAGAGAATTCTATTAATTTATTATCATCATTAATACAGTTCTGGTCAAGTCCACTGCTGAACACAGGCCCCCAAGGAACGCCACAAAGCACGGTCCTGAACCACTTGCATTCATAGACTTCCTGCATATCTTACCTGGTCATCACTCTATCTAGTGGGGGTCGCCCTACACTACGTCCACTGGTAAGAGGCTGCCACTCGAGAACCTTTTTTCGCCATCAATTTTCGGTTTTTTGAGCTACATGGTAGGCCCATTGCCACTTCAGCTTACTAATCCTTTAGGCTATGTTGGTCACTCTGGTTCTACTGCGGATATCCTCATTTCTAAGTTTATCACGCAGAGAAATTCCAAGCATAGAAGACCTTGAGCGTCCTCATACGGCCAATATTGAAGAGACAATTTATTATGATTGCCTATTATTTATCAATTATATAAAAACAGTGTAAAATAATCCAGTACCACATACTATCATTCCATTGGTGAGGTAAGAGGCGACAAGGGTAAATGCAACAGGATATGGAGAAAACATCTTCCGCATAAAAAATAATGTAACTGCGTCAACTCGCCTGCCAAGCATGAAGACTATGGCGAGTATCATCATCACTATGTGGGAATCTTTTAATGAGACCTATGTTCAGCAGTAGACTTTTGATGGGCGGAAATATCTGTCGATGTACTTCTGTAATCTATCAATAACTGCAATAATATTGGCTTCTATTTAGCCATCGGCGCTATTTGCATGCCGTTAAAACGTGATTAAACATTTTTTATGTCAGTCCGTCCGGGCTAATCTTTGGAATGGCTGAACGGATTGTGATGAAATTTTACAAACTGACAGAAAGCAACGTCAGAGAAAATCTATGCAATTTTTTATATAAAAATATTTAAAAAAAAGAAAAATATTGATTAAATAAATTGTCTTTGATTATCTTAAATCTAAATAACATCACACTTATTAAATCCTAACCAGGCGAAGCCGAAGTGGATCGTTTGTAAGTAATAAAATACAGTGTTAATGTTATTAGATAGATAGATAAACAATATTTTATGTCAAAAATATATTGAGTGGTCTTATCGCTAAAAGCGATCTCTTCCAGACTACCTTTATATTGTTACGCGCTCCAGTCAACGATACACTAGCGCCATCTAGTGTCAGGAACGAGAGCGAGGGGAGCATTGAGAAAATGACATCACAAATTACTCAACCGACAGCGCCTAGTCGAAACTCGAACGCTCGGTACCTTGCCCGTGGTTACTTGAACATTCTGGATATTTCTTTGCTAATTCAAATATATAGGCGCTGCAAGATGCGATCGAAGCAGTGTTGATTTGGGCGAAACAAGCGAAGCTTCGGAGTGAAATTAAGTGAATTAGTGTGTTTAAATTATTAGTGTTTTAACTTTAATTGTGTAAAGTAAATTAAAGTGTTAATTTAGGTAATTTTATCGGCAATTTTTATTGTCACGAACCTCAAGCTCGTAACAATTGGTGTCAGAAGTGGGATAAAATCATGCCGATTTTACCTAAGGAGGAAACGGAGGGTGTCCGTACCCGAAGTCAACGCCAGCAGGAGACGGACCAACGAAGATTTGGTGGTGCAACGCCGCAGACGTCGGAGGACCAGCCACCGGCTGCAGGCCCGTCGGTAGCTCCTACATCTGCAGCACCTGACTTAGGTGCTCTGATGGTGATGCTGCAGGAACAGGCTCGCCAGCAGGCGGAACAGGCACGCCGATTGGAAGAGCAGCTGCGGGGCGGACAGGATGAACAGGCCCGCCGACAAGAGGAACAGGCCCGTCGGTTGGAAGAGCAGATGCTTCTCGTGAAGGACCTTCACGCTACCTTCGGGAAAGAGATAAGGGAGGTGAAGGATAGGGTTGCTCAGCATGACAACCGCCTGTCGGAAGCTGAAACCCAAATCGCGAAAGCTGAAACCCGAATCGACCAAGTGAACAATCGGGTTGACAACGTAATGGCTGACATGAAGAAATCACTGGACGAACTCAAACTTGGAGATGGAGCTACAGCTCCCGTAGTAGCTACAACACCTTCGCTACGTGGGTTCAAGGTGCCACCGTTCGACAGTACCTCTTCCTGGTCGGCCTACAAAATCCAGTTCGAGGCCGTCATGGAGGCGAACGGCTGGAATAAAAGCCAAGCCATGACTGCACTCACCCTAGGCCTGCGCGACCAAGCCTTAACTGTGTTGGAAGCTCTCGGTAAGAAAGTGACCTATGAGCAGCTTCTTGAGGCCTTGGAAGCGAGATATGGCGACGCTCATCTGGAACATGTCTTTCGCGCGCAGCTTAAAGATCGCGTGCAGCGCAGCAACGAAAACCTGCAGCAGTGGGCCCTTGAGGTGGAGAAGATGGTTCGAAAAGCATACCAGTCTGTACCTGCGCTCATTGAAGGGAACCTGGTTCAGACATTCATCGACGGCATCCGCGACCTTGAAGTCAGAGCTGCTGTGAGACTCGGACACCACGACACGCTTAAGAACGCCTTGGCCCATGCACTGGAGGTGGAAGCCGTGCGGCAGGATCATCGTTCCCATCGCATCAGGGAGGTTGCAGCAGCTGCAGTTCGCGACCGCAACAGAGGAGACAGCCCTAGGTGCTATGGCTGTGGGGAAAGGGGCCATCTTCGGTCCAGCTACCCTGAGCACACCCTACGAAGGGAAGGTGAACGGTCTCAGAAAGGAAGTGCGGCTAACAGCACCGCCCAGCAGCAGCAGGAATACGACTTTACTATCAGACACTGCAGCGGGAAATCTCACGGCAACGCAGATGCATTGTCAAGAAGACCTTGTCCTGAAGATTGCAACCATTGTAGTAGGCAAGAGAGTAAGGAGGTGGTATCCGTGAGGATGCTCAGGACAGACCACCTCAGCAACGGGTGGAAGGACAACCTACGACATGCACAGCAGGAAGATCCGGACATCAAGCCGATTCTGGGATGGATGAAGGCCCGTGCTACCAAGCCTAAGTGGAGGGACGTCTCAGCGATGAGTTCAACCACGAAAAGCTATTGGGCCCAATGGGACAGCTTGCTGATTCAGGATGGTGTCCTGTGCCGTAAATGGGACAATGGTCGAAGAGACAGCTGTCGTTTGCAAATGGTTGTCCCTAAAGCTAAAGTGCCGAACGTTCTACAGTTGTGCCATAATGGTCGTTCAAGAGTCCATCTGGGAGTTAAACGAACTCTACTGAAGGTCCGAGAACAGTTTTACTGGGTTCATTATCGTGACGATGTCGAGGATTGGTGTCGTACATGTACAAGTTGTGCGGCCGAGCGGGGACCTCAGACACGTAGTAGAGGAGCACCGAAATTGTACAATGTTGGTGCACCACGGGATAGGACAGCCCTTGACATTGCGGAGCCGTTACAGAAAGGCGCAAGAGGGACTCCTAAGATCGTCCATGTGAATCGCTTGGCGCGTTATTATGGGGCCGATAATGCTCGGGACGAGCATGTCTTAGGAGGGGGCAGTGTTACGCGCTCCAGTCAACGATACACTAGCGCCATCTAGTGTCAGGAACGAGAGCGAGGGGAGCATTGAGAAAATGACATCACAAATTACTCAACCGACAGCGCCTAGTCGAAACTCGAACGCTCGGTACCTTGCCCGTGGTTACTTGAACATTCTGGATATTTCTTTGCTAATTCAAATATATAGGCGCTGCAAGATGCGATCGAAGCAGTGTTGATTTGGGCGAAACAAGCGAAGCTTCGGAGTGAAATTAAGTGAATTAGTGTGTTTAAATTATTAGTGTTTTAACTTTAATTGTGTAAAGTAAATTAAAGTGTTAATTTAGGTAATTTTATCGGCAATTTTTATTGTCACGAACCTCAAGCTCGTAACAATATTGACAGGATTACAAGAAACCAATAAAAACATGTGTGTGGTTGGGCTTTTTTTTATAAACCATTAAATGGTAATATAAATGGATAATATAAATTGGTATATAAGTAAATACTTCGATAAGAAGCTACAGAATACTGTAATAGTATAAGTATAGTATACTGAGTACACGAAATAGTATAATAGTATACTGGTGTAATAAAATAGATAGCTTTTATTACAAACAGTAACTGTTGGATACTATTTTTTTAAGTAAAACAGCATTCATAAACTATAAATTTTTGTAAATAATGCTATTTACCTACATCGATATTTCCATAAAGATTTGGGGAAGCAATATACGTAATACTTAATTGTGTTGCAAATAGTTTTAAAACTACTACAACTCTTTAAAATTGCCCATTTGCTTACATTACCACATTTAAAACATCGTCATATACAAAATAAATATATTAAAATACAATAATAATCAAGGCATTATACCTGTCTTTCAATTTCTTGTGTAATGTTATTACTTCCTTGATCTATAATCTGTAGTCTAGTTTCGAAACGCGCTGAAGCTAAAAATAAAAAATAATATTATTTTACGCAGTTTTTGTTTGAAACCTGATATAATTTGATTTATTTTTATTTGTCACAAATTAAGGTCAAAACATACATAGAATAAAAATAATATCTCAGGTCTACATCATCATCAAGTATACATCTACCTCTTTCTTAGAACTTCTCTCTCGGTAGAAGTTGGACTTACCTAATCAGACAATATGTCCGAGGTAAACATAGGTCATAGGTCAACAACTTCGAGTGTAGTGTTTCCAACAACAACCGGCATAGGTATGATTTGGAAGATAAACATGATCTTTGTCGTGTCCATGTTCATTCTTTCGTCTGGAGACACTATTGACCTAGAGGCCCTATATTCAGCAGTGGTGGTTTGATAAGCAGTCACAGTAGTAAAGTATGAATATATACTATATATACTATAATACTTACTAAAGTCGCTTTCTTTGGGGCTACAGTCACATCCAGTTGTTTTTTTACAACCTTCAAAACATTCCTCGATCCCACATTCTGAAACACATAAACTATTGAATTAATAAGATCAAGTATTGTTCAAACATTATTAAAACGTTTATCAAGCTTAGGCTCGGATTAAAAAGCTTCCGGTATTCCAAGGATCTGCGAAAAAAAGGTCCCGGACTAATATGGATTCAATCTGTTTCACAAGAAAACACTTGGTTTATTCTAGCATCAATATTGACTACAGTTAATCCGGGGACATTCAATCCCGAATTTTACAAAAAAGCAAACAGAAAATACTGTTATTGTTTTAGACATCCGATCCGTTATTTTTCGGCACAGGAAGTATGCCTTTCAATAGGTCATGTAGTTTTTCGTATGAATTTGACCACACTGATATCAAACAAACTTCGTTTCGGGTGCAGTAGCCAGTATTATGACAGATTCACAGATGGCAGTACGCGCACGCACGTTTATAAAAAACAATGATGATGAATTCCTGACGTTCAATTACCGTAACAGGAAATTATCAATGTGTTTAATTCAAAGCTGTATAAGAATTCTGCCTCGCACAACTCTGGTTGCTTATTAATAAGGTGTGATTCTTTAGGCCATGAGTTTTAGACCATAAAGGTAATAAATAACACATTTGTGACCTATGTTTGAAATTAGTTACAGGAGTTCATTAGTTACATTAACACTTTCCGTCAAATGGAGTGCTTGCTCATACCACTGTAATATAATAACTGTAATAAATAAGAATAACTCGCTTAATTTATATAATAATAATATTAATAGAATTAATATTTCTGTTCTGTATTTATTATCAATGTAATGACGGTGTATAATTGATAAAATAATATTTAATTGGTACTGAACTATATAGTAATATATGTACAACAGGCCGAACAATTAATTTAAATATAATGCCTGCCTGCTTGTCTGAAAATTGTACATCATATTACGTAAAAATAACACTAATACTATAGTAATTAACTAATTTTAAAAAGGCGGACACTTTGCAAAAGTACAATATATTTATTGAATGTTACTTCCGTGCGAAAATGATCTTAGTTAGTAGCTCTCAAGCAGCGGTTTAAGGAGATTTACTTCAAAAACTATAATTGCAATGAATCATATGTGTTTGATATATACATACCTGGAGCAGCTATTTGTGACTCACAAAGGTCACCCGTGTAGCCCGGTGAGCAAATACAACTAACTGCCGCTGGACCCATCTGTCTGCGGAATTAATCCCTGATAGCACAAGCCCTTGATAGAAAAGGAGTCAAAGGAAAAAGCGTATACATATTCTTTGACGGCCTTTTATCTCAAGAGCACTTTGTTTGCGGTCTGATTAATGGGTGAAGAAATAACCATCCCTCTTGTCATTCATTACAAGAGGGATGGTTGTTTCCTCGCCCAAACACAACGTCTTAGAGTAAAGGAAAGGAATGTTCTAGAAACTATAACGCACATTATATCTTTATATATAAAAATTACGTGTCGCGTTGTTTGTCCACGATGAACTCCTAAACTACTGAACTAATTTCAATGAAATTTTGCACACTGTGTGCAGTTTTGACAACTTGAGAGAAAGAAAGGTTTTTAAACCGATAAGTAACCCTATATATATATATTGATGTATAAGTTTTTTATTGTTGTATATATTGTGTATATTATAAACTAATCCACCTAAGTTACGTAACATAACGTTGAGGTATTATAACATTCCCATTCATTTTTTATTTTTCAATTATCGGTACCGATTGTAGACTGGCAACAGTCACCTACCACTGCGACCACCAATCAGTAGTACGGACCTACAGATATGACAGAATGGTTGGCCTCCTTTTGAAGTTATATGTTTGGTTTAATTGTGTGATGTAAATGTTTAATCTATGCACTTTTTCATTCATTAAAGCCTACCAAGTCTACTGCTCAACATAGGCCTACCCCAATAACTGCCTCAAAAGAGGGATATTTGATAGTTTCTTCGCTTGTTAGGTGGGCTGTAACCTGTAACCGCAGTATTTATTTTTTTGGTTATTTTTAGGAAGATGCCTTACTCGCCTCTAACGACACTCATGGGACGATATGCGATAGAGAATATTCTCAAACCGCTACAACTCTGGATAATGTTGTGAAAATGTATCAGCATCGTTTGTTATCCGATTTATTTTTAAATTAATACTATAGTACAATGAAAGAAAATAAAACAATTGCAAAATGTAATTTACCACCGGCGAGCCCAGTGTAGCGATTACGGTTTTCGTAAAAAGTACTTCCTTTTATGTATATGTATACATTATAAGTTAATTAAAACAAAAAAAGTTCTAATTAAAGTAATTAAAAATTTAATACAATTTTAGATTCACGTTCGTAGGATGCGCATTTTTATAATAATGCGTTACTAGAGTTTGATACAAAAATAATTAAATTAATGCACTTCAATTAAATAAAAACAAAAATCGTAAAAATTGTCAAGTAAACTTATAATATTATAAATTTCATTTCTGCCGTTTTTGATAACTATTCTTATGAATCGTCAATTTCTTTTAGCATAATACATTACAAAGAGTAAGCAAATAAAACAGTTACCTGCAAGTACCACCATTTTTGCACATGTTAGATGTTCTTGGACATAATGGACCAACTCCGCAATCAACTCCAGTATATCCCTCGAAACACGAACAGAAAAATTTCCTGAATGAAAAAAAAAACGTTAGATAAATATATGAATTGATGAACGTGTTCCAGCCTTGGAGAAACTTGTATCTCATATCATATAAAATAATTTAAATAAAGGTTTTTTCATGAAAGGATTTTTTTACGGAATTTTAAAACAATTTCAAATACTTAAGCAATTTTTGATAGCAGTGAAATTGAAAGAGAGAGGACTTTTAACGACTATTATTTTCATAAAATGTTTAACTATGGATTTTAGTTATGCAAAAAGTAACCAACCCACAAAAGGTTACCTCTGAGATATTGACCTTTGAAATTTTGTTTGATCGGTATTCAATATAAAAACGTGCTTCGATTTTTAATTTTCTAATTTAACACTTTTTAATAGAAATTATTTAACTATAACAAGTTAACAAAGTTAAGGCTCAAAAGATTATTTTGGCATTTAAAACTAATAGTTTACCTGACTGTGGCAGGGGGTTTTCATGCTGGTCTACCTTTCCGGTGATCCTGTTATGGAATACGGGTACGCGACCCCGGCTCCCCGAGCTACTGTTATTCTCGTACCTTTCCTGCCGAGATAACAGTATCCTTACACCTGCGCTCCTACCCCCAACCTTCTTTTTCCTTTTCCCAAAATGGTAGCTTCCTCTACCAACAATAGCATACCCAAAGAGAAACCCAAGAAGAAAACTTTTGCCAAATCCCATGCAGTAAACCTATGAATATTACGAGTTGTGGGATATATGACAGGGCTAGGGCGCACCCCGCAGGCGACGCGCAGGGACAGCACCCGGCTCCTGTGGGAAGTGGGCAAGGGTTGTCGCACCTACGGAGCGGGTGCGACGTAAGAGGCGAGCCCGGAGAGAGAAGAATGTCAGAGTGAGGTTTGCAAGCTGGAATGTAGGTACGATGACTGGAAGAGGAAGAGAGTTAGCAGATGTTTTGAAACGACGAAGAGTGAATGTTGCCTGTTTGCAGGAAACAAAATGGAAGGGCAATAAAGCAAGAGAGATTGGGGAAGGATACAAGTTTTATTATTGTGGAAGTGATGGGAAGCGAAATGGAGTAGGAGTTGTGTTAGATAGTGGAATGAAAGAACGAGTGACAGATGTGAAAAGAGTAAATGACAGAATGATAGTTGTTAAATTAATGATTGAAAACAAAGTAGTGAATGTTGTAAGTGTGTATGCTCCGCAAACAGGCTGTGAAGAGAGTGTGAAAGAGAAGTTTTGGGAGGAATTTGATTGTATGATGATGGGAATACCTGAGAGTGAGGATGTTTATATGGGAGGAGATTTTAATGGACATGTAGGGAGAGTGAATGACGGGTATGAAAGAGTACACGGTGGATGGGGGTACGGAGTGCGGAACCGTGAGGGGGAAGTTCTTCTGCAAGCAGCATGTGCTTTCGACCTGGCTGTAGTAAACACGTGGTTCCAAAAACGAGATCAGCATCTTGTTACTTATAAAAGTGGCCACCACGCGACACAGATCGACTATCTTCTGATAAGACGGAACCAAATCAAGAGTGTAAAAAACTGCAAAGTGCTTCCAGGTGAAGACTTAGTATCCCAGCACCGAATTCTGCTGGCTGACATCTGCTTAACTGTTCGCCTCAACAAACATAAGGATCGTCCCCCACCCAAAATAAAGTGGCATTTGTTGCATAAGGAGGAGTATGCAAGTGAATTTAGAGAGCTAGTTGTAAACAAGATGATAGAGATGGGTGATATGGAAGGAATGAGTGTGAATGTGTGCTGGAAGGAAATGGCTGATTGTATCCGAAGTGTGGCAAGGAAGGTGTTAGGAGAAACAAAAGGGAAGCGTATGATAGATAAGGATGGGTGGTGGTGGAGTGAAAGTATTAGAGAAGTTTTGAGAGAAAAGAAAAATGCCTTTAAAGAATGGCAGAGCGTAGAAGACCAGAATGATTCCATAAAAGAAAGTAAGAGAGGGGCGTATAAAGAATGTAAGAAGAGAGTAAAGAAAGAAGTTGCTATTTGTAGGGCAGAGGCGCAAGATAAATTATATCGGTCCCTTGAAAGCCCCGAAGGTCAAAAACGACTTTTTCAAATTGCAAAAGCGAGAGAAAGGAATGGAAGAGATGTTTCACATGTAAAATATATAAAAGATGATTCTGGAAGGATTTTGACTGACGATGAAAGTATAAAGAAGCGATGAAAGGAGTATTTTGAGAAATTGATGAATGAGGAGAATGAATGGAATGGTATGCTTGAAAACCCACCAGTGAATATGGGCTTAGTGAGAGAAATTAGTGTGGAAGAAGTAAAAATGGCTGTTAGGAATATGAAGAATGGGAAGGCGGTCGGCCCAGGTGCAATACCAGTAGAAGTGTGGAAGTTGCTGAGTGCGGATGGATGGAAGTGGTTGAGTTTATTTTTCGGTAAATTGTTGCAGGAAGAACAAATACCTGAGGAATGGTGCAGTAGTATACTGGTCCCCATTTTTAAAAACAAAGGAGACGTTCAAAACTGCAGCAGTTACCGGGGAATAAAACTCATGTCACATACGATGAAAGTCTGGGAAAGAATAATAGAGAAAAGAATGAGAGAAGAGTGTGAGATAACACAAAACCAGTTCGGATTCATGCCCGGTCGAGGTACGACAGATACCATTTTCGCATTACGCCAATTGTGCGAAAAGTACAAGCGCGTGCATAAAAATCTGCACATGGTTTTTGTCGACCTTGAAAAGGCGTACGATCGGGTTCCCCGTGAGGTTTTGTGGTGGGCGATGCGAGATGAAAGGTATGCCTGGGAAGTATGTGAGGTTAGTCCGTGCTATGTACAGAGCATCCCGTACATGTGTACGATCTGCCGCGGGAACTACGGGCAGTATCGATGTGGCGGTAGGGCTGCACCAAGGGTCGGCATTGAGCCCTTACCTCTTCCTACTGATTATGGACGCTTTGACGTCGGACCTGCAGGATGAGGCACCCTGGTGCATGCTCTTTGCCGATGACATCGTGCTTGTCGGGGGAAGAAGGCATCGAGGTACAGAGCAGACTGACGGGGTGGCAACAGAGGCTGGAAAGTGTTGGCTTGAAGATCAGCAGATCCAAAACCGAATATCTGTGCTGTGATTTCGGCGGTCTTTCCAGTCCTGTACCCATGTCGTTGGATGGCGCTATACTGCCTACCTGCTCAGATTTCAAGTACCTCGGTTCCCTCATTCAAGGCGACGGCGGAATAGATAGAGCTGTGCAGCATAGGATTAACGCAGGGTGGATGAAATGGCGACAGGTCACAGCCACAACGTGCGATCCCCGAATGCCAATAAGGCTGAAGGGGAAAATTTACAAATCGATCATCCGACCTGTCGTCATGTATGGAAGTGAATGCTGGGCCGTCAAGAAGAAGGATGAAAATAGACTGCATGCGAATGAAATGAGAATGTTACGATGGATGTGTGGTGTGACAAGGATGGATAAGATATGGAATGAGTATATAAGAGGAAGCCTGAAAGTAGCGCCAGTGGTAGAAAAGGTGAGAGGAAGCAGATTGGCATGGTTTGGGCATGTGATGCGGAGGGATGAAAGTCATGTCACAAAACGAGTGTTGAATATGAATGTGGAGGGACACACGGGCAGAGGGAAGGCCGAATAAAAGATGGATCGATTGTGTGAAGAGTGATATGAGAATGAAAGGAGTAAGTATGGAAATGACGGCTGATAGAGAGGAATGGAACGAGAAGATTTACTGCGCCGACCCCAGATAATGGGAAATGGTTTAGAGAATGATGAGTTTACCTGACTGTGGGTGAGGTTCAAACAAAAATAAAACTTACTTGTAATCGTGTCTAGCATAGCAGTGTCCTAATAATCGACACTCAATCGCGCTGCATGATGGTGGCCCCGGTGGGTCTTGAGGTTTTTGAACAACGTACGTAACGTTAAATCCGAATACTGACAGCAGATCTAGTGCTCTTAGCTGGGTTCCCTCTAATCTATCTAAATTTAATTCTACGACTAAGACCGGACTTTGGACCTGAAACCGTCAGTATATAGTACATTAGTAATCCTTTAGAATATTTAAGTGTAAATATACTAAATATTCTACTAATTTTTAAATTTTTAAATGTAATATTAATTAATATGCAACAAATAAACAATTTATAATTAAACTTGTACATCAATCCAAATATAGCAGCTGAGGCCGCAAATAAAAAAAAACAAAAGTAAATATATTTATTGAAAATATTCGTTTTCGTGTTTTGTTGTTAAAAATAAATTTCTTGCCTGTAACCACTTAATCCTTGTTATATTTTCCTCTGTAACCGTCAAGGCTCTTCTCTCGCCTAATTTGTACGATTCATCGTAATACATGTACTCAGTGAACGTTAACCCACTCGTGGTATACTGCTGTGTGAAATATATCGATATAGTACCATTAACTATATCATGCTCAATGACCCATCGACATTTTATGGGAACTGGAAACGGGTTTGGAAAATTTGGGGTCTGTATTGTTCCCACGTGCCCCCTTAGATGTCCACCGCATGTTAGAAGCCCTTGGTGTTCTCTGTTCTCTTGTGAAGACACATAATCAAAAGCGATGGTGACAAGTGTGATGCTTAATAAACGCCGCATTATTGTGTACCTGTTAACAGAATGATATACTGGATAAAACTTTTATATCTTCGATAATATTATTTTTACAGAATAGGGTGACAAACGAGCACACAGTCCACCTGATGGTAAGTGGATACTGTGGTCCATAGACATCTACATTTATCCTCGATTAAGAATCAAAACGCAAATGCGTTGTCACCCCTGAGGACTAACATGGAATGCCTGATTTCCAGTAAAAAGGGTCTCCTGTTCTCTATACTCACCATGCGAAACACAGCAGTATTAGTTGCTACTTTACACTTGTATTCTGTGAGGGATTACTTAGGGGGAGGCCTATGTTCAGCAGTGGACTTGTGAAGGGCTGTAAAATGATGATGATGATGATGATTCTGTGAGGACGTGGTCCAACCCCGGTCGAGCCGAGCCATTCGTGCTGCAATTATAATATAGCTGCAGCGTGACTCTACCACGTACACTTTACTTGAATTTGTATTCAAAAAGCAAGAGCAAACTGTTTTTTATTTTAATTTTCAAACACGACTTAGAGTTTTTTTTTTATTCTCAGTACATAAAAGCTTCCAATTTGTTATTCAAAGATGTAATTCATGGATGCAAGAATGTAAAATATTTAAAAAATTATTTTCTACAAAAAACTTTATTTACATATTAAAAATAAGGACTATAAAGGCTTTTTATAGTATAAGAGCGAGTAATACGCAAGCAGTCCCCTTTACGGTAAGCATCTCTATATGAATGCGATGTTTTGCGACGCTCGCCTTTTTCGTGAAATTCACTGTTGCTAGCTAGTTGTTCTATGTTTAGGAACCTTGGAGGAAAGTGAATAATCCTTTCTAAAATGTTGCATTTGCATATGCTATTAGGTTACAGGTGTTTATTTTCGGCATCTGCAGCTTATCATTCGGGTGATCTGCATGGTTTTTTTTCAGCCTTCTAATAAAAAAGAATTGCAACCCATGGATTTGTACAATTATCTTCATCCAAATAAAGTGGAAGATCCGTTGTCACATTCTGGTATATAGAGCGGATATAACTCAAATCCTATAATTATATTACTTGCCCTTCTTAATATAACACAGCGGTGGTTTTCCTTCTGTTTGGTGGGTGGTTTTGTAAGAGGTAAAAGGGTTTATTGCTATGACGAAAGGACTATTGCGGAGACTATTCATAAGCACAAAAATAGCTAGTTTTTGGTTAACTGATTGTCAGAACACATATTTTATTACAAATAATCCATTTAAGCCATCAATCTAAACGTTTTTAAAATGTACACCAAAGATAATAAAAAAACTTACATACATAAAATCCACGCATACATACTCGTCAGTTAAAAATACCTTAACTTATTTATTATTCGTCTTCTTCGTGTCATTTTATTGTAATTTCTACCAAACCACTTTAAAAAAACCATTAAATTCGTTTTACTACCTAGTTCCTTCTTTTTTGTACCTTTTTGCATAAAAGCTAGTCATAATTTGCAAGTTTTGCTTGCTCTAAAAATTACAAAGTAAGAAACAATGTAGCTAAATTATTAATTCGTGTATAGTGGTAGCTTAATCGAGTTTTAGGTAACGTTTCCGGCAAGTATGTAAATATGATAAGTGCATGTTCATACTTAAAAAGGAGGCCACATTGATGAGACCACATTTAACGGTCAATTTCAACGTGAATTTTACTGACACGATAAATTATCACACCGACTGATGTGGTAAGCCATTGTACCATATTGCAATCGGCGTTAAATGTAGTTTGATATGCAAATTTGATGCAAGGCCATTTTGCATACTGATACTATACATTCTTTATGAGCCAGTATAAGTCCACTATTGGTTGCAGATCTCCCCATTGTAAGAGGATTCCCCATAATTTCTTAATCGCCACACTTAGGGGTGGATTACGAATCGCAATATCAAACAACAGGCACCTTTAGGCTGCTTCATGCTCCTGAGGATTTTAACAAGATATTTACTCGGAAATATGTCAGGAAATCTTGATATACAAATTTGTGCTCTGATGCAAGTGATATCATTTTTAACCAAGCGACTGCCTACACTGATGCAAGTTATTTGCACCACTATAGAAAGTCGCGTTCCATATGCTGTGCCAGTGCAAGTGTTAGTTAGATCAAGTAGTAGTAGTTAAATCAATTTGCTCCCTAGGCTCTTATACCTTACGATTCATTTAAGCTTGCGTGTTTAGTTTACGTGTGTTTATAATATATATTGTTTATCTGTAACAGTGGTAACCATTAAATAGTATAAAGCGTTCGAAAGGCCAATTAAATGAAAAATTGTTAGATAAAAGGCATCAAAAAAAACTACAGAAAATTAATAAGGTAAGAATAAATTTAACATTTGAAATAATGCAATGAAAAACTTGCGATGAATCGAGAAGAAGTCAAGGTAAGTAATTTGCGACAGTGTCGTGAAGCAGAGGCGAGCAGCAAGGCCCAGAGCCGTGCCGAACACTGTAGCGCAGAGGTAGCTTGAAGGAACAGGAAGCATTATTATTTCAGTACTACGATGAACCTTGTAAAGCTAGATGGTTTGCAGGATTTCAAGGCTGCAGAAGATATCTGCTCGGGAGCGAATGGGTGTGGTACTTTATGACGATGATGAAGCTTAAAGTTGAAGTTTCCGAAGGTTGGTGGTTTCGTGTTCAGATTACGTTGGGGTCACCATTGTGGCCGTGGCAGGAAAAGGAAAGATCTCTCAATGGGTAAGGTGTTCTAGCCCGGGAGCGGCAAATGTTCCAAGTGGTAGTTCGAAACTATTCTATATTCACTGTTTTTATTTCGAAACTTTAAGAGTGCGATTTAGGCTTCGATGTGTTTCCCTTGTGGCGCGAAGACAACGCCGCAACAAACAACAAACTAAAAATGCGTGTGATAATTTTTCAGAATTAAATTAAAACTGTGTGATTACACATTCAACTAACCCAGCTAGATTACAATGAAAAATAAAATTAAAAAGATACGAGCCGTTTTCAGATTTTAGTCAAACGGGAAGAATAAATATGAAATCAATGAAGCAGCTGCCAAATGTCCAAAAAAGTACATACACATACATGATAACACAAATCTTTTAATATGAGAATGTAAGAAACACGGCTATGGAACTTTATCTCTTAGATGATAGATTAACTTCTGAAAACTTTTAAAGAAGGTCAGGCAAAATTACTTTATACAAACCTTTACTTTGTTTCTTTCATATTTTTGTGTTATGTATTATTAAAACCGTTGAAAAATATTTTAAGTTATAAGAAAAAAAGGGTTTTGGAACTTTAGATAACATAACATTTGTATACTAGTGCAAGTGATAGAAGTTCGTAAAAAATAATGATTTTTAAGTTAAAAGCGCTGAATATTAATATGGTAAAGTGCAAATTCATGTAAAATATAGTTTTTCTTTTCTTTTTCCTTAATTCGTAGTACAAAACGAAATAATTTCATACAAGTGGCTGCTTGTAACAGTTTGCGTGTTTTACAATTTTAAAACAAGCAATCTTTTTCCTATAACATATAGGTATAACATTTCAAATTTTCAATGCTGTGAATATTGTTATATTATTATTATACAATCATTTTCAAACATTTATTAAAAGTTACAAGTTCTTGATCTTTAAATCACTCTCCTGTAAAGTTGTGTTTTTGCACTTGCATTAGTATACGTATGACCCGTCGCCATAGTCGTCTCTTACAATACGCATAAAATAGTGTGATATATTCCCATACGGCGATACCACACGGCTGTACTATGCATACTATAAAGATTTTTTAACCGTTTCACCATCACCCTACAGCGCCTTAAATTTAAATTGACAAGATGATTCAATTAAAATCGTCTACAATTAAATTAAAATAAAAAGTAAGAAAGTAATATTATTTCAAACACGATAAAAAAACAAAAGTTGTATTCGTCAATATCAGTTAATAGTAGCTAACGTAATATTTAAGTTCAGAATAGAATATTTTTTATTCAACAAAGGTTTTTCATAGTTATAATATATACATACTGGATGATTTTTTACCGTTTTGAAAAAAAAAAATAGGATGTAACAGGTGAACGGAGTAGAAGCATAGGCTTCTTTCGTTATTGTAAGCATGTACCAATACTCTTAAGAGTACCTAGAATTGGCGAAATTTTTGTTAAATGTCTTGTCTGGTGAAAACTTAGACTTTGCGACGAGTCGATGTTTACACATGTTGAAATTTACAATATGGAAAATGAGCACACAAAACCCACACTAAATCAAAGAACATACTCATCAAGTTCGTTTCTGTGTTAACGTCTGGGTGGCAATCATTAACGATCACATCATTGGTTCGATATGGATTGAAGATCGATTGACAGGAGTAACGTATATGCAAATTATACGTTCAGTCATGGGAACAATGTTGTAGAACGTTCCCTGAGCCATCTGCAAGGAACGTACTTCCAGCACAACGGTTGTCCAGCTCATTACGAATGATCCATGCACGCATAACTGAATAGCCAATTCTGTGATAGGTGGATAGATCGCGGCTGAACCGTGAACTGGCTAGCGAGATTACTAGACCTAAAACCTTTAGACTTTTATTTTTGGGCCGAACTTAAATTATTAGTGTACACAGAAAAAGCACAAAGTGTTGATGAAAGTTTAACAAACAATTTACAAAGACGCGCTAGTTTGTGTTTAGAACGAATCGGTGGACATTTGGAACAATTTTTGCAATATTAGCGATATAGCAGTAATTGTTCAAAATTTCCACCGATATTATTTTTATTTTTTGTTAACAACAATAATGTTGTATAATTTTGTAAATATCAATCAGCATTATACGATAGGCATAAAAATAATTATTAGAAACTGTTTATGAATTCATTATATAGTAAGATAAAATTTAACAAGTAATTAGCCCGTAAAAAACATAAGAAAGAACAAAATCAAAAAATAATAATCTGAAACGAAAGGTTTTCGTTTGCGGCGGGAAGGAGTGGTTTCCGCAGCATTCAGTCAGCACGAATGTATGCTGCAGCCAAAACATAAATAAGACGTATTAAAAAACGCCTAATTGTAACGCACATCATGAAATGTATCAGCTTTTTGCGTTCAACAATGCGGCTGATAATACTGAATTTTAACCATGCATTCTATATCACTTTATGTTTAACTCATGTATAATATAAATGTTTGTGGCTTTGTTGTGCGGTTGGATCAACCCAGTCGCACTTAAACTTATTGCCGCTCAGTACAAGAGGGTACAGTTTTGGTTTTCATAGTTTGAATCTAATAGTGTCATCTATTTACGGCTAAATAAACTAGTAATAAGTAAATAATGAAATTAGGGAGAATTCTATGAAATAGTTGTTCTTGCAGCTTCAAAAATTGTCAGACTTAAAACATCCCAACCGGTGGCCACTGTCGGGATGATTTATTGTGATTGTTACTTTTACTAAAATGACTAACAAAACTGTGATTAAAAGAGGTCTTAACTTAAAATGCAGTGTGTCCATTGGAATAGCTATATTCAACAAATTCTTTTTGTATTTATGTGAATGACTAATTAATAGCTAGATGTGCAATCGTATAAATAAAAGTAAAGCTTCTTTTCAGTTTTTATTAAATTTATTTAAATAAATTCGAGACCCGTTGAGCTTGCTGTAAGATTTCATAGCAAAGGAACAAAAAGAAAGGGTCAGTGAAACTGGTAAGGAAATTTTATTTTTGTTTATTTTCCACGTGCTTAGTGTGACGAATAAGTGGTGACGAATAACTTCGTGGGGATTTAAAAAAAAACTCTTTGGATAATTAGGAGCACTGAACACAGTTATAAGACGTATGTAAGTTGCGTTTTCTTTTAATGAGACTTGTGAAAATAGTTTGTCATATATCAAGATAGCTTTTATATATTTAGACATAATAAAATTCTTGTGACAGTAACGGATTCATAACTCACGTGAGTTAGTGAACAAGCTCTTGCGAAAAATTACTATAAATATCAAAGACAGCAAATATTATTCACATGTTTATTTTATTTTTGACTATGAATGGAACTTCACTAACAGAATCTTGAAAGTAATCTGTCAAAGCCGATAATCGAACTAATCCGGACGTTAATTTCATAAAACGTAACTACCCCAAATTCGATCTGTACCGATACCACCCACATTCTAATTGCAATTTGAAGTGTCGATTTACCACGTTCTCAGTGGTGGTGGCAAACATCGCAAGAAAACTTGCATATCTGAAAAGTTAAAAAAAATATTTCGGGACTTATTTTTAGGTATATCTGAAGTCGTTCATCCCGCGTTGGAGTTAACTCTATTAACCCATTTAGACCGATAATTATTTTTGTGAAAAATTCATGTTTCATTAACAAAACCTGATCCAAGAAAGCCTAAAAACCGGGGGAAAAATATTTAAAAAAAAATTAATAAGAGGGGGGGCGACTGAAGGGACGTACCACATATGGTACAGTAGGACTATATGTATGAAAAAAAAAGACATGATTTTACTAATTAGATTTTATTTACTTTTTTGGTGTGATACATAATAAAGCACTCTACGTGGACACCGATATTGCACTTGACACATCTTGTAGGACATTGTTTGTGGCATAGGCCACACCTGGTCCTCTTTTCCTGCTTGCTGACATAGTGTTCTTTGCCGTCGTATCGAGAGTCTGATGTTATTGAAGATGGTCGACTAGGACCTGGCCTTTCGCGTTGTTTATTACAATCGATAATATAGTTTGCAATACGACGTCGAAAGTTTAGCAAGTCGATATTCCCTCCATTATGTCTGTACAGCAGCCATGCATTTTGTACAGACATGTCTATACAATGGAGAATCAGAGGCATATACCACTTTTTTCCTCGAATGCTAGTTCGCAATGACGATATATTCTGATCTGATAAATCTACTCCACCCATATTTTTATTGTATTGTTGAATGAGATGAGGTTGAGAAACAGATATTTTCTTTTTTAGTTGCTGAGAATAGCGTTCAGATTTGTGGACAGGATCAACACCAACTGCATTAGAGCATACTGACACTATACTATTGTCATGCCACTTGCAAATTATAATATCATCAGATATGCGATAATCATAAAAGCCTCTTTCTTTTGTCTTTGCTTCTTTGTTACTTAATAGAGGGCACTTTCCAGATCTATTTTCTCTGATAGTACCAGTTACACGAAATCCCCTCTCAGTAAGTTCATGAACCAAAGGCAAACCGGTAAAAAAAGTTATCTATGAAGAGATGGTAGTTTTTTCCATAGCCTAATGTTGCTAGTTGATCTGCATAAGACAAAACCACACTTGCACCAAGACCAAGCAGGGAATATTGGGCATTCGTAAATGTAGAAGCACCTTGGTATGGTTCAAACCATGCAATGTAACCTCCTGATGTTGCACCAACCCATAATTTGTATCCATATCTTATAGGCTTGCCTCTAATAAACTGTTTGCAGCCGTGATGACCAAAATATGGGACCATAGCCTCATCAACACTATGATTCTCCTTATGTGGACAGTGCTCAAGAAACCTCATAGTTAAAACTTTTAATAAAGGACGAACTTTTGCAAATTTATCGGATGTATCTAAATTTAGATTATCAGCAACATGAATATTAGAGTAAATTAGTGTAAATCTATCTCGAGACAAGGCTGAAGCAATCAAACTATTTCTTGAGTCAGATGCATTTTCCCAGTACATTCTTCTTCTGCTCACTTGGCAGTAGCCACTGACTAACAAAATCCCTACCAAACATTTCATCTCTTCAATCTTGACGTCAGCAGAGAGAAGCTTACGTGCTAAGTATCTATTGGTTTCAATAGTAAGCATCTCAAATACTTCTTCTGAAAATAATAAAGAAAACCATTCTATCGGGCTTCTTTCAATAGGAGTATGATAAAGGGGTTTCCAAACAATAGGTCTTAGCTGCAAGTCTCGTTTTCGCCAATTGTAATTCATGACACGTTTTTTTAAAGGTTCTTGAAATTCGGGAGGGGTTTGGTCCTCAGTTTCTGGTTTTTCCATTGAGGTTGAGGCAGCAAGCTCCGCTGGAGCTCGAAGCAAACTTCCAGGCAAATTATTTATGCTGACGTTATCTTCTTCACCCGAGTCCTCGTCAGTTTGGTAATCATTGGCGGTGTCAGGTGGAAGTAAAAAAAATATCAAAATCTTGTCTCTGGTTGCTAAAATCATCATCTTCCTCAAGAACTGTAGCAATTTCATGTAATGTCAATGACCTAAAACAATAAAACACAAAAAGATAAATAAAAAGCTAATATAATAATATGTAAATTGACTTAGGTATTTTGTGCTCATACATAGACCTACTGTACCATATATGATACACCTAATCTAGCACTGTGTACACCTTACTAAAATGACCCAAGTGAAACTTATTTGTAGCTATTACGTCTATTGTAGCCTAGTATTTAAAATAATACCAACAAATAATATGATTTACTATAGATAACATGAAACTTACCTTCTTGAAGACATTGTAAATTGTTTTTTTCCGTTTCTGTCTAGCAATTTTAATATAAACTGATAATAACTCGCATAAAATGTGTATGTTATATTGTTGATATAAAACTAATACTCTGAGTTATCTGCCACAACTAACCAAAAAAGTTAATAATTTGTGGGTACATCAAAATATTTTTACAAAGTAACTGTACCACATAGGGTACGGTAGGCCTATATGGGTTAATTTTTTTGTCCAAAATCTCGCTGCAGTGCAATTAAAATTTTTCTACTGACATTAATTAACGAAAAGGGATTAGATTGTTATTTTATTCAACTTACCTTCACAAACCCGTGGATATGTTAGAAAATGGTACTATTCAAGGCGTCGTAGCTGAAGCCCTACACACCAGCCAAAATGTGATATCAAGATTGTGGTCACGTTATCGCAGTACTGGGGATGTGACTGAATGGCACACGCAAAGACAGGATCGATTTCTCCAAATGACCACCAGAAGACAACCAATATCACAGCGATGTAACTTCTACAAAAGCTCGAGGAGGACCAACAGCTGCTGGTAAGTGAGCAAAACCGTGCGAGGAAAGTTGCATGAAGATGGTTTTCATGCTAAAACACCGCTATTTGTTCCAGCATATGCTGGACATAGCGACGTAGCAATAGCAGTCGGCGGCTTTCGTGGGCGTGGGAGCATTTACCATGGATTGACGAACAATGGTCTTTGGTGTTGTTTACAACACGTATTTGGAGAAATCCAGGGAGAGTCCGTCTACAGCAACCTCAGGAGGTCCACTCATATCAAGGCAGGACAATCATGGTGTGGGCAGGAATTCATCCTGGCGAACGAACGCAATTTCGTAATTAAATATTTTTTTTTGTTTTAAATAAAAATATTAATTTTTCAATCGCCGTAGAAAATTAGTATGATAAAAAAAAACATAATTTCTTCTTATAAAGCTAATAATTTGAATTGAAAAAATCTTTAAAACCCATGCATACACATGTAAAGGATGAATGTACTATTTTTATTCCATTTTTTTGTTTGGAAGTTAATAAGTCACTTATTTTTCTTTAATTGTAATGTGTAATGTGTTTAGATGTAAGTATTGGAATAAATGTCTTTATGTCTTTATGACTGCCTCGTTAGTCTATTGGTCATAAGCGCGACTGCTGATTATTGGGTATCGGATTCGAATTCCGGGTCGGGCCAATAATCTGTTATTTGGTTATTATGACAAAAAACCGCAGTAGCTGTCCAGGATCAGCAAGTTGGTTGTGTTTTTACCTTCCTGCCTCAAAAAGCAAGAAAGCCGTCCGTCTCATCGGACAGTACACAATTCCGCCATGAGTAGATAGCTAGCCCCCGTCAAAACTGGCAGCCGTGACTGATATTTGGTCTTGAGAACATTATCACACGTTTAACAAATCTTAAAATTTTGTTTCGAAGAAAAAATCTACTTTTTGTTAACATCATAACATAATTTTATGCAATTATGTGTACGCTTTTCAGTGACGTATGTTTTTAAAAGGTTTATATTCGGTTAGTTAAAATGTATTGTGATAATATTTTGATTGTATTTTAGACGTTTAATTTATAAAAAATATGTAAGTCATTAAATTAGGTCAGCTATTTTATAACTTCTGTGTAATATCGGGGTTCCAATGAGTTTTAAAGTCAAATAGGTTGAAACCGTGCAATGTAATTCTGAAAGTGCTATTTATTCTCCTTAGCATTCATTTTATAGTATACGGTGCCTACTATACTACGAGTATACGGTGGTGGTACGGCTAATGTAGCTCCAAATTTTTTTCAGAATGATCTTTAATAATTAGAAAAGTTACATTATAAGTCCCCCTTCTGGTGTTTTTTTGATATTTTTACTTTGACTCCTTCGAGTGTTTTGCAGCACTCATGGTTGCGAGGGAAGTCCCTCAGATGTCCTCCAAGGTGCAAAGTAAACTAAACATAGAAAATTAAAATAACGTTAAAACCAAATGCGATGAAATTGTAAAAAACAATGTTTTAAGGTTTGTAGTTGTTCGCGTAATTGTAAGAAATCATTTCAGATACATTTTAAGATAAGTATTTTAATATAACTATACATAGAAATTAGTTTTACTTGTATTTAATAAACATTAAACGTTATGAAATTATATAATATTGTAATCCTTCTTTAATTTTAATTTCTATATGTGTATATTATTTTAACTTGATAGAGCTTCTTTGCAACTACAGTATAATAATTACAGTTTCAATGCTTCGTAAAGTAAACATCGATATCTGGAGAAACTTTTCACCGATAACGCGACTTTCTTTTTTAACCTTCAGGGGTGATAGCGTACTTACTTTTTTAATCAATTTTAGGTATAGGTGTCTAAGCATTCACTTACCAAAAGCTGGATAGTGTGCTCCTTTGTCACCCTTATTCTATAATAAAAAAAACACGAAACTTTAAATGTATACTAAAAGTGCATTTTGCAGATATTTGATTCTAAGGAAATGGTTATAAACACAAAAATCGTAATGATAAGACAAAGGAAATGAATTAGTGCTCGATTACTTCCGAAACCGATGTTACCACCTGCAGCTGTATTATAAACATACGCAATGCACAGTGATATCTAATGTTTCATATAACATTGCTTGGCGAGTTTTCAACGTCGTGTGCGTCACGTATTACGGTAGAACAAAAGCAGCAATGGTAATTGTCAATACAAAAGTAATAAATGATAGTTTATAAAGGTAAATATCATATTAAAGTATTAATCTAGATATAAATTAGTTAAAACAATGGCAATTAGTACATAATCAACTTACCGATGAAATTTTATGCCCTTATTAGTTGAATTACACGTTCTTGATGAGTTTTTCTACTTTTTTACTATTATGCTGCAGTTCACCATTATAATAACATAAATTCACTTGCGACGTTCCCCGCGCAACTAAATCACAAAATGGTGAATTATGTACGTCAACACATAATAGCGACGACAACGTCACGTGTCAACTATGCGACTTCTATTGCCATATTATTACGATTTCTGTGGTTATAAGTCAAAGTTCATGCGATGTCTAATTTCTAATTTATAGCATTATTACGGAAAATTATGCTTATCACTTCTTATGTTGCTGCTATACCGTGAAAACTTTACTATGTTAAAATGTAGTTACACTTTGAAAGATGTATAAAAGTCCTTTAAATGTTTCTACAGTGCGTAAGGTATATAAATAATTGTCGACGTGACTGTGTAACGCTCGTGTCACGGAATACCTACTACGTAAATATAAAGCAAATTAAAAAGTCAATATTAAAAAACATATACATAAAACATAAACACTCACGCCTGTCACCCAGAGGGGTAGGCAGAGACTACAGACTTCCATTTGGCACGATCCTGACCACCTGCCAACGCATGCATGCTCGTCGGTTAAGGGTACTCCTAATTTGGCCCGTTTTCAATAAATCGCCAATTTGGTCGATAAATTTTCGCCTAGGACGTCCTTTTCCGGCTCTGCCATTCACTTCTGCAACATAAATTTTCTTTGTCACTCTTTCCTTATCCATTCTTTCCATATGACCAAACCACCGAAGCATTACTTTCTTAATCCTGGTCACTCATCCTGGTCAATATTAAAAAACTGTACTAAAAATTGTTGAATATAACTAAACTCGAACTAAATGGTCTTCGAATAAATTATATAATAGAGTACTGAAAAATTATAATGTCATCATTGCATACAATATGAGCTTATACTGTAAATGTTTTAATTCAGTTTGTTAAAAAAAATTATAATTCACAATGATTTTTAAACCGTTTAGGTATAGTTCGTTTCAAAATTTTGCTATCCAAAGGTATTTAAAATAAGGATAGTATTTAATTTATTAAAAACTCATGAAATGACCTGATATTTATCTCATCTAATAATGACGTCATTAATTAGATTGAATGTGCACTTCACACTATCGATTGGTTAAAAACCCTATTGTCTCATTTGTCGTCGAGTTTAGTACTATGGGTTTCGTATGAGCAAATTTCAGACAATTTTTCACATACGCTTACTAAGAACTTATGGGGGCGAACCCGACAAAAAAAGGTTTGTCATTAAAAATTATAACAAAGTTATACTGAAATATATAATACAGACATAAGCAAAGAAATACTCTTTAATTTGGTACCATAATCGGTCAATGTCATATAAAAAATAAACAATAAAAACTCATTCTGACGTAACGGGTCTTTACACCAGAAATTTAGTAGCGTGAGCTATTGCTGATTCTCCGTTTTTCTTGTGTTTGATAAAAGTGAGTTTTATATTTTTGTGTATACCTTGTAATATGACAAACACGTAGATATATAATTTGTGGCATAAAAAGTGACAAGTAAGTGCCAAAAGTAGTAATGTGTGTGTTAGTAAATGTGTTATTTTACCAATTATCATTTATTTTTAGTGTAAAATGTAACTGAAAAATAGTTTTATAACATATTTCAAATAATTGAAGTTGTATTTATTTCAAATTCACACAAAAATATATTTTAAATATTCTTCGAAATTTCGTACAGATAAAAATTAATTTTGTTTTTTTTTTATTTTTTTTTATATTTTGGTATGAGTAACGAATAGAAACACATAAAACATAAAAATATACATATTTTCAAACATTTTCATATAGATTTATCCAAAAACAAACGTGTAAATTTCAAATTAGTACTAATT